CCGAAAATTCCGCGGAATTTCCGGTCATTCGCGGTTTTCGGGGAATTCCGCGAAAGTGCGCGACATTCAAGGGTAATTTGCACGTATGTGAGCGGTATTGTGATTTGAAGTTAAAAAAAGTACGGATGGAGGTTTGATCCGGCAATGTTATCTGACGTGCTATTCCCGAAAATGACCAAACAGGGCTTCATATAGGTTACGGTAGATGTACAATGTAGGGCTTTACTTCGACTCCAGAACGAGTTGTGACGAGTGCATTGGGCAACTGTGGCCATGTCGAATATTCTTCTCCTCCCCTTCACAAATTTTGGAGGCAGTGTCCCAGCAAGTGCTTATTAACGAAGCTCTTCACATCCGCGTTCGCTTAAAGGCAGTGTCCGGACAAAAACTCGACTTTGAGATTTTGTGCTTATACAGGCCTATTCGCCATGCTGAATCCGAAAATCCACATTGGAAAGCGCGAAAACGGCGAAAAAGGGCTCTAACACAGGAGGGAAATCAGCAGGTGGGCGGGGCTTTCCCCAATGCGATTTCACGCTCCCAGCTCCCGGAGCGATTTTCTCGACTCCGCTAGCCGTCCTAACATCGCTACCGGTCAAGTGCGAATGATTGACTTGGAACCGGAAGCGAGAAGGTTGCTCCGGAAGCCGGGAACGTGAATTCGCAGTGAGGAAGACCCCGCCCACCTGCTCATTTCCCTCCTGTGTTAGAGCCGTTTTTCGCCATTTTCGCGCTCTACAATGTGCATTTTCGGATTCAGCGTAGCGAATAGGCCCAAGTAAGCACAAAATCTCAAAATCGAGTTTTTGCCCGGACACTGCCTTTAGAGGCAATGTTCAAGCAAAAAAGCGATTTTGAGATTTTGTGCTTGCCTTAATCTATTCGCTATGCTGAATCCGAAAATCAACACTGGAGAGGTCGAAAACGGCGAAAAAAGGCTTCAACGGAGGAGGGAAATTCCAGGTGGGCGGGGCTGTTCACAATAGTGGCGTCACTCTTCCAGCCTCAGGAGCGATCTTCTCGCCTCCGCTAGTCGCCCTAACATCACCACCAGCCAACTGCGAAATACATGACATAAAATTTCAACCGAAAAGATCGCTCCTAAAGCCTGGGAGAGTGACGTCACGGTTTGAACGGCCCCGCCCACCTGTGAATTCCCTCCTGCGTTGGGCCTTTTTTGGCGTTTTCGCGCTTTCTTGTGGTTCATCGGATTCAGCATGGCGAATAGACCCGGGTTAGCACAAAATTTCAAAATTGACTTTTTGCTTGGAAACTGCCTTTAAGCGATATCCCCTTGCTTTTCAATACAAAACGATATCCAGCTGGTCCTGTAAGCCACCTGTGCCGAGCCCTGAAATTGGCACTTCTTTCTGTGCTTGGACTACTGGATCTAGATAATGGAAACCTGGATTTTCCTAACAATTTTTTTGTGCAGATTCATCTGAGACGGACATAAGAATGCGAAGAACCTGCACATGTGCCTACAGTTGATCATACTTTGTCTCCCTTCTGTGTAGCTAGTTTATGTACACATGAGACACAAGATCTTTCGAATTAGAGTAAACTTGCGGCTTGAGGTAGTAGAATTTTTAAAATGGGTAGTTGCAGCCGTAATCTTGAAAATATCGCACCGAGAAAGAAGATCGAGGAGAAGGTTTGGAAACAAACGAACGATAGGCAGATTTTTCACATTTCCTCCTTCAACTGTGCAAGATGCACACAATGTACTATATTTGCACAAATGCCTTAGAAATCTTGCTTGAACCTAATGCAAAACAGGCATGCAAAATTAAATTAAGGCTTCTCACAAGTGAAAGACATAAAAAGAACGGAATGTTTATAAGAATCTCAAAGCTCAAAGCAGCAATCATGTACACAAGACTGGAGAACTATTTACACGACAAGGTAAAACTGACGAAAACTGTCCGTTTGTGATATGTCATAGTACATTAGTGTATTTATGAGCAATCTTGATAAGATAAAACGGTGAGTTATAAAGTCTATGATGAATGGAGTCGATTACACCTCGGTACTATATCCATTTTGAAAGCTGGATTCAAGAGCATTAAGACAATGTGATAATATAGGTTGCATACACTAAATCTTAGCACTTACTTTTCGTCCCTGATAGATACCTTCTTCTTGAGTATCAATGGTGCAGGCGAGACACACCTGTCTGCGTGAGAGGCCTAGGAGATTTGGAACCGGCGCCTCGGCGTGCTTTGGATAGTGTAAGTAAAAATTGAGCACAATGTTAATTGAAGCAAAGGCAACGGGAACCAAAGAAAGTAACTGAATTTTTTCCCTAAGTACTGTCAGACGATCGACGCAGTTGGAGAACGTAAGTTGGAAGAGCTGTGTGGCAAGCCCTGAACTTACCTCCTTATAGGCTTCTTTTCTAGACGCACGCATCAGTGTCCGACTCTTTTACCTTCAGGTCTCTACAGATTTTATTGATTTAGAGCGAGAGAGTCATCACCTAGTTGTTCATGCAAAGAACTCGTAGCGGCACGTATCACTGATGATATCACAAAATTGGATCATTTTTGACATACAGTAAGGAATGTACTTTAGGAAACGCTGTGCGAGTTTTTATTATTATTTTTTTAAAATTTTCTACTCGTAACTCGGCGAACTTTATAGACTGGAGCCTGAGCATGCGCCTGATAGCAGAGTTTCTTGAAAACGCGGATTTTTTCAGAATTCACCAACGCTTATGTTTTTTCTGGTAAGAAATCCGCAGCTATACTTTAGTGCGCTATAATCTACAAGGACCGTACTATCGAATATTACTTACCAGTATCTTTCACTAGGCGCTGCGTTACATCTTTGCAAACAGAACAGAGCTCCGCAGAAGAATTTGAGAAAACTGGAAACGGAATCGGATTCAGACTTTGTTCATTCTGAATGGAGTTATGGCGCTGTGTAGTTTGCGTGATTCACGTGATTCAGCGGAAATCCCGGAATGTCGCAAAACTACCAGAACGTTGCGGACTTTCGCAACCTCTGGAATCTCACGACATACAAAGAAGATCTGCATTTTTGTGAGCTATTGCAGATAGCAAGAAATAGAGTAGAGCATAGGAGAATTCAAGAAAACTTCAATACGAGGCAACAGCCTATGTACGCGCATCGTTCGCGGGCGTGTGGACTCTGATGGGAAGATGCTCGAGCACGCCGTTTGTGCCGTTTCGCACCTTAGACGGATCCTTCGTGGATCTGGATTTGTATGTCATACGCAGAAAACAGAGGTGGGGTCTACTATACAACGGGGGTCTACTATACAACGCTGTGAAGTCTCTACACACATATCTTCAATCTTGTCCCCTTAGTAGATGTGGGGACATCAAAGAAAAGATCTTATCATTCAGGTTATCATTTTCGTGATAGTCTGTTGAGTAACCTTCATAAGCCTGTTTGTGCCGAATTCCACAACTTTGAAAACTGAGGACATAAAAATGGAAAGCTTCGAAACAACAGAGAGTTATTCCAGTCGCATCCTGAGACATAGAGCCTCATGCAAATTGTTTAGACCTTTTGATTAGCGTTATCACACCGGTTTTCACGACTCTAACAAAATCCAAGCAACCGGGAACTCACAACAACACATTTACTACAACAAAATATCGGAACATTTTCCACGACATGTAAAGTCAGAGATCTGATGTTCATGACGAAAATCTGAAGACGAGGATCTGAAGGACTAGAATATAAAGTGAACAAAATCTTAAATTTTATAAGACTGATTTCAAGGATGAAAAATGATCATGTTCTCAAAAAGCAAGTCATTCTAACAGGTTGGCTAAAAATAATTTCGTTTTTGGCATGAAAATCTTCATAAAAAGTTTCCTAGCTGCTTTTTGTTTATGATATTTTGTGCTTGAGTAGTTCAAAGCTTCTTCTATCACATATCCACTATCCAGGATTTTAAATTATCAGTAAGGAACAGTTATGCCCCGACGAGGCTAAGATTCCAAAAATTCATTTCTGCGACTTTAGAAGCTTCGTTTTCATGCTCTGATAGATATAGAGAACAGCATTTTGGTATTTAGGTAGAGACAAGTTTTCCCTACTTAACGACTACCAATTGAAATTGAGATCTGCCGTTTCAAAATTCTTTGACCAAAATAACCAAATTTTCTCATATTTATGCACAATGAGAAAACTGGGGTTTCTCACTTCCTTGCGGATTTCTTTCATGGCAAAATAAATTCCACTCAATAGACTTTATGTTCCAATTCTTATTGAAGTGATCTTTCCTGCGATACCGAATACTGGACAAAAATTGTCTGCAGCAGCTGCAGGAGCCGCAAAACCAACCGAAATTATCTATTAGCCAACCTAATATTATAATTTTATGAAAAAGCACGAAACGGTTGCTATAGATTCCACAAAGCTCTGCGTAAAATACGTTATACTTGTACGATATACTAAAGTCAGTATTTCTACTGGTTTTGAACGTGTAAAGAGCAAGGATTCGCAAAGTGCCTGAACTCTTTTATATCCTCTTTGAGTCGAACTCATTCATATCTGAGATGAGATCGCTTCGCTTTACTACCAGTTGCAAGGTCATTCAATCTAGCTCGGTGCTTCGGTTTTCCAGAAAGCTTATACTATGCTTAAAAACAGATTTTCGTAACCGGGCATCAATGCTGACACAGTCCTTTCCATAGGCATAATAATGCTTGCATCTACTAGTGGCTGCCATCAATACCGGTTTTTTGTTCACTTTACATCAGTTCTCATTCTTAAACAAAGAACAACAAACAAGTACACACTATTGAAGACCTTCAAAGCCATGCCACGTTACTGTTAAATTGGAATAAAATTAGTAGCTAATTTTACAATCTTGTCTATGCAGTCGAAAATCTGATGTCAACATATTTCTGTTTATCTCTGTTCTCTTCAGGCTTAAATAAAAGCGCATGTTCTTACTGTTATTGTTTATCGTTCGGATACCGCTTATTTCTACTGACGAATGCTCATCCACGCATCCTTCAATGTGGTGCAACAACGAGAAGCTCTCCAAAAAATGTGGATTTGACAAATATTGTGATCGGTACGTTTCTAAAACCTTTGCAAGGCGTACGACATGAAGGTTTACGTGAATTCTTGTAGTAGTAAAAAGCGTTTTTGATATACTTCCATTATATTAGGTTGTCCCATAAGTCTCTTCATACCTGGATTTTTAGCGACATAAATCAGTTCTTCTTGAACTCTTAATAGAATGCAGGGTACTATTCGACAGATCAAAGCAAGTTCTACAAGATAGCGTTCAAAAGTTCGCGCAAAGCTTAATCCGCAAAAAGTCCCAAGCCAAAATGAAAAAAAAAAATTCCGAATTTGCGAATAAACGAAAATCGTCATGTCTCAGTTCAAAACAACTCTGCAAATTTCCCACTTTCTCATATCCTCTCCTTACGGATACACGGATATTTATACATGCGCTTGCTGCATTTTTTTGATGGCTAGAAACCAAGAAAAAAATAATGCGTAGAATTTTCAAACTTTGCTTGTTTCAGCTCTGTGTTCCCCGAAAATAGGTGATTATATAGCTTATCCACTCAGAATAAATTTGCAGCCTACTAGGTGCCCTTGTTCTTAAGAAATATCGAATTGAAGGTCTGAATATGAAAAGACTTATGGAACAACTTAATAATTTGAATCCATAGTCAATCGAAAATTCTATACAGAACTTGTCCTGTGACCTGCGCAGGACATCGTCTTTGTTGGTAACGAGATTGTGCTGCAACATATAGCACTTTGAAAGACAAATCAAGGCAAAGCCACCATCAAATTCTAAAATTAGTTAAACTGCAAAATTTATATTCAAGTGCAGAATGTCGAAGTGTTTACGACAAATAAGCGACTGTTATAAGAAGTTGTTCTCAAGTGAACTAAAAGTGTTGAAGTATTTGAACCAAAAATTATATGGAAGTACATATATGTAAAAAGTTCCGCGCTTTATCAAAGCTGAATAGCACCCTCTGCACGCCACCCAAGGTAAAGCACAATAAAGTCATGTTCCTCCCAACAAGATCTCCCGTGTTTCCAGTTTTGAAATCATTTTAGCCAACACAATAGCATTTCTAGCTAGAGTAAAGATTTCTCATTTTGATCTAAGAATAAATTGATTTTCATTTTTGATGGCTTATAAAATGCTGCGAGGAAACTTCGTAGGGAATTGCCGATATCAAAAAAGTGACTTGAGCGTAATTAGCAGCTTTACATAACAATTTGATGCAAGAATTTGAAGACTTAATACAAAAAACCTCATCAGATACAGCTCTGGGAAAGTTCCCTCATATTTGAAGACTCGAAAAGCATTCAAGGGAAGTCCCCGATGATTTCCTCGGGACTTTCCTAACTTTATTGCTGTTGACGTCATTCTTCTCGGGAGGTTCCCAATTTTCCGCCTTTTTTCAACTCAATGCTGAATCAAGCTCTCGGGAAGTTTTGCAAATTAACTTGTCCTCGGGAAGTTTCCGTAATTTGTCTAAGGTGAGCTTTTCACCAAACTTTTGCAAACCGGGGTTTTGAAGAAAGTATCTGTTCATGTAGAGCGTACCTCTAGATGTAAAGTATAATGTGAGCACCTACACCCGTGAGTTTGATAGTGTGTATTATTTGCATGGTTCCAGATAGTCTCTTTTCTTCCCTATAGCGCTTCGCTGCTGATAGAGATAAATGCTGATATGCTTCTGTTTGATACTACAGAATTTAGAATTCCGAAAAAGCCTGGATAACATCAATTCGAATATTTATAATCGTTCATAATTAATCATCCCATGTTATTTCGAACTTTCATCCTAGCTGACTCTCTTGGTGTCAATGAAACTCTTTGTTTTTCACCTCTTTTCCTTTTTTTCTCGTATTTTCTTCACTTGGTTTCCTTGAAGCCATACCTGCTTGGTCAGTAATGCCCATAGCTACGCGAGTTAAGGAGAACCTTGCTTTCAAAATGCGCAGGATCCATGCCTTGCTGAGCCTGGGTCCCAACACTGTTGGATTCATTTTGAATATTTTCCAAGCAAACAAGCGATTTGAATAACCAGGCTAGTTGATAACAAAGATTAATAAGTGATATCGAGATATAAAAAGATTCACACACAGTTGTTATTCAGTTTCGAAAAACATAGTTGCGAAAGCCTAGAACAAATGATGTTTGATACCCTACAGCTTGTTCGATTCTAATTGTAAGAGCTCCACTGATAGCTCATTGAAGTATGCGATTAATAGGTCTTTTTCGTAGCAGGAACATGGGAAAACCCAACCACAGATGTCTCGCCCGAGTTTGAAGAAAAAATAATAAAAAATGATTATTCAGGTTTCGGAACGCCACTTATAATCAACCTATCAATATTACGCTCTTGGTCGAGTCGCTGTGCATCCATTGTCAGCGATTTTTAGTCGATCAGCTCTATCCCATCATTTTCCGAAACTTCGCTGATGTAATAAGGATTCGAATCGTACCATTTGGTAATGCGCATATTAAGGTAAGACAAAAGCTCTCTTCCTTCCCACAACTCTAAAAAACCCAAATAAACCGATGTTCGTGTGCATCCTACGAATTATTAGATAGAAGTGAATCAAGTCGATCATGGAAATATTTTCAATTTTCTTTCCCTTTGAGCATCAGCTGTTCGTAAATACTCATTTATTTCCACCGATGTCTGCCTTAATTTCACCTGAAGATAACTTTTCTTGATCAAAAAATCCCTTTTGATCAATTCCATAAAGTTGATCGAAAATTACTTTCCCGTTATCCGGACCGATTTTTCAAAAACCGATACGTACCAAATTCGGTCATAACTTCACAGAAGGAGTGTCAACCTCTTGCCATGTGTCAAGAAAAACTGACATTTTTTTGAAAGGTTTTTTGGTTTGTTTTTTTATAATATATTTTGTTCATTTCATCGTTCTTTCGTAACGCTATACCAAAACCCGACTTTCGAAAGGTTGATTTCATTTCTCTTGATAAGTACTTCGAAATGATTGACTGTGTGTAACTATCTACAATGCATTTTCTAAAAATGTGTCTTTCAAATACATAGATCAACCGTATCGAGGCTACCCAGCTCATATAAGAAAACCTCTTGCACAGAAAGAACGCCTATTCTATTCTCTAATAGACCCGTTGTCAGACTCGATGTACAAAAAAAGTATGTAAAGATATTGACTACCATTTAAAAAGATTTTTAGCAAATTATGAACATAGATTGGCAAAAAGAACTCATCGAGGTTCATTTTTCATTATATAAATCAAAAAAAAACTAAACCGTCATCTATCTTGCATAACCGATCAAGCAGGAAATACTTATATCACTGATAGCGAAATAGCCACAAGCGTTACGACGATATTTCGCTGGTGTTTTTTCCTTCGACGATCGAAGTAGGAAATCAGGCTTCTCTTTATCTTCTTCTTCTTCTTATCGTCACTGCCTATCGACCGTCTATTTCAGTCCCTTTGAAATTCGGAAAATTCTGATTAAACTAAATAATTCTTTCACCGAAACGTATGACGGTATCCCACAAGTCGTTTTCAGAAAAATGCGTTTCATCACTCTTAAGCCCCTCGCACATATTTTTAATATATTAATGATGTTGGGAGAACTGCCGCAAGTCTGGAAGAAGGCATTAGTAACAGCTATACCTAAGGTTTCAAATGCCCACCTCCTCTCAGAATTTCGGCCTATCAGTCTGACACCTACACCAGTAAAGGTAATGGAGAAAGTTTTACGTGACAAAATGCTTGCATGGTTCGAGAAATTCAATATGTTACCCCCTAATCAGCACGGGTTTATGACCGGATCATCAACTACCACCAATCTTGCTGATTCTATTTTTGACTGGAATTTTGCCCTAAATAAAGGAAAATCTGTCGATGTCATTTACATAGATTTACCTAAAGCATTTGACAAAGTAAATCATCGACTGCTGTTGCTTAAACTCGAGCGATTTGGTGTGAATGAAAATCTTTTAAATGGCTAAGATCATATCTACACAATAGAGGTATGACCGCTCGAGTGGAAGACCATTTCTCTGATCGATAGACCTGTACAAGTCCTCAAGGTGCAATTCTTTCTCCATCGCTTTTTCTGGTGTATGCTGCTGATCTTCCCAACATTCTGAAAACATCCGGAAATCTTGCACTGCAAATGTACGCAGACGATATAAAAATTTACGGCTGTTACAATAAAGATACCCAGGAAGCAATCCGTTTTGCAATCAATTTAGCTTTGGAGAGAAAAGTTATGTCATGCATTTTGGTATCTCAGAAATCCTCAATTATGAAATCAATGGAATTAAATTGGGAGACTGCAATACAGCCAAAGACTTAGGTGTACTGATTGATTCTGATCTAAACTTTTCTAGTCATATCGAATGTGTGGTAAATGAAGCTTCATCGGCTTTGTTTACAATTTTTCGTAACGTACATACAGACAATCCAATTAATCTAAAACGACTTTATCGAGCTCACATTTTACCACATATGGAATATTGTTCCGTGGTCTGGAGTCCTTTTTTGAGAAAAAACGTTTTGAAACTAGAAAAAGTTCAACAAAAATTCATACGCATATTATTAGGTCGTTCTGAAAGTAATGTCGCTTTTTTCAAACGCACGCCACATCTCGTAGAACAAAGATATGTAAGAGATTTTGGTAGCATTTGATGCAGCGTTTCATCCTCTTTCTAACGGTTATATAATCGCTGCAAAAATTCTAATAAACTCTCGAAAAATCATCAAAATTTGCGACCCATGCTTTTTGAGAAGGCCAAGTTTCAAAATTTTTTTAAATTTTCATAACAATCCTCGGAAGGAGTCCAAGTAATGGATGGATAGAGCAAACCCTACAGGAAACAGCGCAAATTTTTTCTACTTACCAGAACTCGTCATAATTTTGGTATAGATTTTTTGATAGAACCACCGGATTTTAGCAGGCTCGTCTCAAACACAAATGCATCAAATATCAGTAAATCTTCGGATTTTGAAACTTACAAAGATGTATGGTTTGGCACTAATCTTGCAAGCCAAATAAGTATTCAACGCTTTAGATTAGCACCTTTCGAAAATTCAGGGTACAGTCTAAGGCGCCCTGGAAAACTTGAATTATAATGATTTTATCCCGGAAAACTTGATGAATCGGAAACAAAAAACAACTGTTAGAAAGAGGAGAAAAAGCTGCGTCGAGTGACGCCCGAGTTGATTGCCGGTTGTTGTTCTGTGAGGTTTGAGTTGACCAAATATGGAATTTGATGGCATTGAAATGATTTCAGAAACTCTAAGTAGCAAGCTAAGAAAAGAAAAAAAATTACTCTGTGTTTTACAAAGTTTGCTCTATCTATCTGCCACCTGTGCTTGTTCATTGAATAGGTACAAAAATTTAGAAAAATAGCTGAACTTGAACATGGCAAAAAGCATGAATCGCAGATTTTGGTAAATTTTTGAGAGCTCGATGAGTATTATGCAATGAAACTATAACCATTAGAAAAAGGATAAAAAGCTGCATCGAATGCTCCTAAGATCTCTTGAAAATTTTGATTCCATGAAATGTGGCGTTCATTTGAAAAAAGCGACATTACTTTCGGAATGAGCTAATATATCCAAGATGTCGGCGAAGCTTCAATTTCACCGATATGCCTAGCTATGAAAAGCCTCAAGTCTTTGGCAATGAAAAGTTTAGAGTACAGACGCGTATATCTCAATCTTGTTTTTTCGTTTCGTCTACTCCGAAAAGAAATAAGGCTCAGTGCAAGTGTATTGGATTTTCAGACCAACATATAGAAACGGTGGGTTTAATATTATTACTTACGTATTCATAAAAAACGTTTTCGTTGGGTTTTCAATAGTTTATTTTACAGAACTTCCAGATGGCTTAGGCTGTTACCAGATGGTGCATTACAATCTCAGAGCACAAATGTTTTTAAACGCAAAATCAATGCACTTGATCTTTTACGTTTGAGGCATTCTGAAAATGAGTAATATCTTTTCTCAATGGAAGTTTATTTCGAATCACTTTATGTTAAGTTCATATCAACGTATTTTGCTTGAACCACACGTTTTCATGGTTCACTTAACATATCACATACATCCCCAGCGATCTCTCATACATGACATAGTATCCTTTTCATATCTTCATTCGTGAGGTTTCAAATCATTTGGAACTTCCTAATATATTATCCTTTTTATACTGACGCTGTTATATCTATATCATGGTAGCGATGTAAGAGGAGGTTGAAAGAGGCTGTTCAGTTGCCCGCCTAGCACGCTGAACTGCCCATTCGCTTGGTGCTCTCCTCTTTAGATTCGCTCGCAAGTGATAAGCTCAAGGCTCTTACTCCATGATACACAGCAAGTTGTTTTACTTCAAATGATATATTTTCATCCATGGTAGCGATGCAAGAGGAAATTGAAAGAGGTTGCCCGCCAAGCACGCATGGTTTCGCCCATTCGCTTTGGTGTTTTCCTCTTTAGATTCGCTCGTAAGTGATAAGTTCAAGATTTACACACCATGGCTCTGAAAGAGCGAAAGTTTGTCCGTTTTTTTTTACAAATGCACATATACCTCGAAAAGGTGCCATATTTGACTCAAAGTGTTCCCTCAAACTCATAGCGATCACTCACTATGCACTCAATAAATAAATAAATAAATGTTATTTACCTGTTTAACAGGTTGTACGAAAAGTTTGTGTAGCGGGCTATGAGGGGACACAAACTTCACTTGGAAAAAAACAGAAGTCATCAGGGGCTTCGCCGCGGATGTTATTAATTCTGATTAAATCGGAACGAATGTTGATGATGCAAATATAGAGAATAATGTCTTTAGCTTATCTCAGCGAAACCGCGAATTTGCGTTTTTATAGACTTTTTTTACCTTAAAAAAAGGTTTCTGTGGAACCGCCAGAATTCAAAACAAAATTTCTTAGTTAACCTCTAATTTGAACAAAATCGAGTTTCAGAAGTTTAGGAAAGTTATTGGAGTTAAATAAGACGAGAAACTGAGCTTAAATCTTGCGCAGAGAGTCGCGCACGAAAACGCTGGTCTATCTCGTTAACGAGTGACTTTCAAAGCTTGGGACGTTGTCAGTGCTCCTTGTCGTGTCATGACGATCAGAATGATATATAATGTTGCAGGGTTTCCTTGAGACCCTGCGGAGATCTACCACCAGAGCCAAATGCCCCGTCGGCTCTGGTCTGTCTCCGCTGCTCGTCTACGCCTCCGCGCGCTGCGCGCTACCTCGCTACCCCAAACGCGGGGCGCGGGGCATTTGGCTCTGGTACCCTCTTCTTCGCTGTTTCGAACCCAGTTTCAGCAAGCTACATATCACTTTGAAGCTCTTGATCTCTATTTTCACGCTGACAACGTCCCAGAACCCTTTTTTTCATTTGATCGAGAAATCCGGCAAAAACCTTGTTTTCGAAAATCTCTTGTTTTTCTCCTAGTTTAACTATTTTCATGCTGTTTTTTTCCTGCATTCTATAGATCTTGCTTCTGTTCATAATGCAGACGACCACCCAGCCTTTATCTCTTCGATTATTGTGGATTTTTTGCGAAAAATCGTAGAAAGTGCGTTTTTCTTTACCTTGTTCTGTTTCAGTACTTTCGCATCGAATTTTTTCCAGCTTGGGCGACTGTTGCTCAGAACAATAAGCGCAACAATCCAGACGACGTCCCAGGAAACAGGAAAGTCAATGAGGGGGTAAAAATTCAAAGGACGCATCAAAAATCAAAACCCCGTGTTGCGAATTGCTGTCCTGAAGCGAAAACTTGCAAGCCGCCAAATGAAAGATTTCAAGCCTCATTGCAGCGTTTTTATCCGTTTTTCAGCAGTTTCTTTCTTTTTATATCTGTTTTATGTAATTTTCTCTTCTCTGATCATCTTGAAACAACCTTCACTATTTATGACGTCAGATGTTCCAACAACCTTCACTTTTGTTCAAACAACCTTCCCTGTCTTTAGACTATCGAAGGTATGATCAATAATGACCTCATTTTTATCCAGCAGTTTAGAAAGTGAATATTAGCATTGTAAGGGTACAAGCTGTGTTCAACGTACACATTAGATTTGCTTTAAATACAATACCGCTCACATTTTTTGAAAAAAAGGAGACGCGAATGTCGCATCATGTATGAACGTCACTGTCGCGTGGCCATATCTCGCTTCAGAGTGGACGAATTCTGCACCTAAAGCCACCATTCGACTCAACTCGGCGCGGCGCATCTCCTGATATATAGAAGTGTCCACGTGGACACAGCAGGAGGTCAGATTCCACGAATCGTTCATAAGTAGGTTGCCCAGTGGGTTCAATGAATAAGCACACTGAGTAAACTACCGTAAGCAAAAATCTAAAACGATTCGTGGAATTTGACCTCCTGCTGTGTCCACGTGGACACCTCTATATATCAGAAGATGCGCCGCGCCGAGCAGAGTCGAATGATGGCTTTAGATGCAATTCGTCCACTTTGAAGCGAGATATGGCCACGCGACAGTGACGTTCATACATGATGCGACATTCGCGTCTTTTTTTTTTCAAAAAATGTGAGCGGTATTGTAGAAGAGAGGGCTGTTGTTTCATCACTGAAGCGGCGAAACAAGCTACAGTAGGTGCTTCAAGCTGTCGTTTATACTCTTTCCTGGCTAAATTCGCATGGCGGAAAATTTCAAAAAGCATACTCATTGCTGAATGCGCCCAAGATGTTTAAATAAAGGTTTTCGATTGTTCCGCTTTCATAAATAACCGCTGTATTTCTGTAGAATCATTTCCAATACTCTGGCATCTCACCGGAAATGATTTCGAAAAAAACATATCAAATTGAGAATAAACGTGTCAGTTTTTACCTTGACACTTACCAGGGAGTCAGCCTTCATAGGATCTACGAAGAAATTTCCAGGCTAGGGTAAGTACTCCATGAGAAAATCGTGAAAGAGATGGGTCCGGATAACGGAAAAGTACCAATCGTATGAACTTATTGGTAATTTTGAATTTTTGGAATTTTAGTCACGTTTCTGTCTACTTTCAGTAACTTCTCTAGATTTCTAGTCTCATTAAAGAATGAGACTAGAACTTCTAGTCTCATTCTTTAATGAGACTAGAAATTCTCATTAAAAACTTCAAGAACCTAAAAGTGATTTTAGGCTTGGTGGCAGACAATCCTCTGGAACTTTTCCGCAACCTTTACTTGGTGCAAAAAATCAAATTGTAAAACAAATCGAAAATCGTAAAAAAAAGTTTATATGACACTAAGAAATAAAGTGTGACCCTCAGCTGCAAATGAACACCAAATTATACGTATACGGAACCAGCTTTAATTTTGCTTACAGAATGGTACCTTTTTCTGCCAGCATGGAGAAGAAGAATGCAAAATCAATAGATATCAATCTTGTTTATTTGATGTGATCAAGTCGCAAAACAAGTTTGTACCACTGATGCACTGCCTGGAGGAGCAGCTAATGGTTGGTTTTTACAAAAGAATGTAGACTTCAAAACCAGTCAAAGGAGTAGCGAATTGAATCTGACTGCGCTTTTGAGTGTTCTTAGGTTAGTTATTTTATCATCACGATAGACGCGTGGTTGAAAAACCTAAAGACAGAAAGAAAATGACATTTCAACAAGAATCCAGCGATGTTTATGAGATTCTCCAACGACTTCCTTTTCACTAGATGACCGAATATATCGGTAGAGGAGGGGGGAGGGGTAAGTATCGTAGGCGGACTCATCCCAAGCATACCTATTTCTTTGCCAGCGCTATTTTTTGCTGTTACCCTGCTTATCAACCGTATCGTGATTTCGCCTACCATACTCTGGCATTATTCTTGCAATCACCAGTCTACTACTTGGTACTGTGGTATGTATTTCAGAATAATGCTTCATTCAAAAACGCAAAATCCATTTGCTTTGCAAATCAGTCCGTCAGCGAAAGCATCCAAGAAAAGATACAGTAAGTTTTCGCTAAATAATCGCTAACTCAAAGGTCGTTCCAATTTGATTGTTCATGTGACCGGCCGGGTTTCAACAATTATGTTGTCAGCAACGTTTGATCAACGGACGCAATAGGTATAATCTTTGATGCAAGGGTGATGTAAGGAAAAAATTTCATCAAACAATACAAGAATGCAAAGGGCACTTATGTCACAAAATCCCACTGCGACAATATGAAACATCGCTCAACAAAAAAATGATCTGAGGGTGCCGCGCAACCGGCCTGCTCCAGTTCAGCATTTGACCATCGAGTATCTACTAACGTGTAAATGACTATATATGCATGTATTATGTTGGTGCAAAGTAATGTCTTTTCCTTCCATTTTTTGTTTTGTTTCTCAGAAGAAAAGGTTGTGTTTCCATACAAACCTATTTACGATTTAAAAGCTCAAGGTATAATTTTTCAAGCAGTGCTCTTGGAATAACCAAAAACCGTAAGGATCGAAGATTTTTAGCCTTGGGAAAAGAAGATGTAATACCAGGATTTTCGGTTGATTTGGTTTTATGAGTTTTCTCTCGGTCGGAAGTTACACTCAAACAAGATATGGCCATTGTTTGGTGCGCAGCAGGCATAATACATCACAACTTTCACAAGGCCTGACGAAAGTCTTCTTCTTCTTTATCTTCGCCATTGTCCCGCGGGTGCAGGGTCGGCGGTGGTGCATTTTTGCTTCCATTTGACTCGATCAGCTGCTTCTTGTGGTTTGAGCTTTGCAATGTGCAGGTCGTTTCGAATGGTGTCCAACCAGCGTTGCTTCGGACGGCCACGTGGTCTCTTCCCCTGTGGATCTAGACGAAGTGCTGTTTTTGCTACTGTATTATCTTCACTTCGTAAAACGTGACCATACCATCGTAATCTGGCACCTCGCATCTTATCCGCGATAGGTGCAACTCCAAAAATGTGTCGTACATCATCGTTCTTGACGCAGTTTCTTCTCGTTAGGCCAAGTATCCATCTTATCATTCGCGTCTCCATCCCATCGTGCTCAGGATCTGCTCGTGTTTTCTTGTTGCTGGCCAACATTCGGCTCCATACAGTGCGACTGGCCTCACCACAGTCCGATACACTTTCGACTTGAGATACAACGGGATTCGTCGGTCGCAGAGTACTCCTGTTACTTGCCGCCATTTTAGCCACGCCGCGTTCGTCCTAGCACGAGCATCAGTGATCGTGTCGCAGTCCGACGTCACTCGGGAGCCCAGGTATTTGAATGTCGTGGCCTTCTTCAGCGGCTGCCCATCGATGCTAATTGTGCCATCGGTTTGCTCTCCGCATTCCAGGTACTCGGTCTTTGCTACGTTCGGCCATATTCCGCTAATCGTGTCTTCCATCTCACTGTCGCCTCTTCAAGCTCTTGTCTCGATCCGCTTGCTAGCTCGACGTCGTCTGCGTAAAGGAGCGTCCACGGATGCGGCAGCTGGATGTCCTTGGTCACCGTGTCCATGCACAGTATAAAGAGAAGCGGTGATAGAGCCGATCCTTGGTGTACTCCGACTTGGACTGGGAATGGCGTTGACGTTCCCACTGCACAGCGTATGACGCCCGTCGTGTTCGTATAGAGGAGTTTGATCCAGCGAACGTACTCTTCTGGGACGTCGTGTTGTCTCAGCGCATACCAGATCAGCCCGTGTGGTATCCGATCAAATGCCTTTTCTAAATCCAGGAATGCGAAATGAATCGGAATCCGTTTCTCCAAGTGCCTTTCCATTAGCAATCGTACCGCATGGATGGCGTTGATGGTTCAAGATCCTTTTACAAAGCCGCATTGATTCGGGGTGACCTCCACTACACTTCGAATGCGTGCGTCGATGACTCGTTCGAAGATCTTCATCGTGTGGCATAGCAAGCGTATTGGTCGATATGTTGAACAGTCGCTGACGTCGCCCTTTTCCTTTCAGATAGGGACTGTAACACTCGTATTCCAGATTCGCGGCAACTGTCCGTCTACGATAATGCGGTTAAAGAGCGATGTGAGATATGCCGCTCCACGCTGCCCCATCATCTTCCACACTTCAGCAGGTATGTCGTCGGGTCCCGGAGCTTTTCCGCTAGACATCTTCCTCAGTGCCTGCACAACTTCTGCTTCCTCGATCCGAGATACCGGTCCAAGTGTGGGGGCTCCTTGCGGTACTAACGGGTGCGGGAACTCTTCATTAAATAGCCCTTTGTAGTACTCACTCCACCGCTTGAGTATTGCCCTCGGCTTCGTCAGGAGGTTGCCCTCTGCGTCCTTAATGTGCATGACGTGGTCGATGTCCTGCTTCGCTCGATGTCGTGCAGCGGCCAGTCGGTAGACCTTGTTCGCTCCAGCAGGTCCTTCCAGCTCGTCATAAAGTCTCTTGTAGTGTGCTTCCTTTGCTTCGGCTACCGCGTGCTTCGCCTTCGAGTTCTGTTCTCGATACCGACGGAGGTCTTCATTTGAGTGTGAGCGTTGCCAGGCTTTGAAAGCTTCTTTCTTCTCCTTGATCACTTGCTGGACTGACTCAGACCACCACCAGATCTGCTTGTCTACAAACCGGCGTCCTGGCTTGGTGGTTCCCAAAATTGTCTCGGCCGTCGATCGTATCTGCGAAGTAATCCGATTCCATTGCTCTTCAATCGACTCCTTATCATCCGTCGACACCCTCAAACCGTTAAGAGCATCTCTGACTTGCTGGCGATGTTCGGCGAGCTTCCACCATTTGATCCTCTTCGTAGTCGTCCTTCTGGCTTGTGAACGTAAGTGGATGTTCAGTCGAAGATCCAATACGAGCAACCGGTGTTGTGGCGCAAATGCATGTGTCGCCGTGGGTATAACCTTCGCATTCATCACCATCGGCAAGTGGCATCGGCGCAGCATCCAGTAGTCGATCTGAGTTGAGCTGTCTCCACTCGCGTACGTGATCAAATGTGACTCCCGCTTCTTGAAAAATGTATTCGCTATCGCCAAGTCGTGTGCTTCTGCTGCTTCCAGGATGCGTTCTCCATCTTCATTCCTCTGACCATATCCGCTTCCACCATGGTATCGTTTGAATCCATAGTGTTCGTGGCCAACGTGCCCATTGAGATCGCCTCCTACGAAGATGTAGTCTGCAGCGTCAAATGTCCTTAGCAGGGTGTCGAAGTCCCTCCAAAACACGTCCTTCTCGGCTTCGGTACATGCGGCTTGCGGGGCATAACACGAGACTATTCGAAGCGTGGCATCATCTGCTTCGATCTTCATCGCCATCAATCTATCTGAGATGCGCGTCACTTCGGTCACTAGTTCGCGGTATCTACTGCTGACGATGATCGCGACTCCGTTCTGGCGGCTGCTATCTCCCGTGTAGTATAAGCGATATCCGTCGCCGATGTCCTTAGCCTGCCTCCCTTTCCATTTCGTTTCCTGTACACATGAGATGTCGGCGTTTCGCTCCTTCAGCCTATCGCATAGCTCCCGACTGCGGCTCGTCAGCGTTCCTATATTAATCGTCGCTAGTCGGATTTCCTGGACTCGCTTCTTTGGCCTGCCTCGTCCGGGGGCAGGTAGCCCTAGCTCACTATTCGCGCCATGCGGGCAATGACGCGCGTCGCCTCCGGGGGACGCCCCAGCAGCTTGACAAAAATCCTTAATAGTCCGATGCATGTGACACGACTGATTCGTACAGTCCCCGGCGCGTCGCTCCGCCTGACGGGACAGTGCCCTCGTCGTTTGCCGGGGTTGATCCCCGTTGCCAGCCGGCACCGCGGGGAGGTGACGATGGGACTTTGCCGGCCACAGGGCCTGACGAAAGTATCACAGCTGAATCGTACTGTCGTGATGAAGAAATGCGCAAAAAGTTAGGTCTTCTTTGTCCAGCTTTGGTGGATACAAGGGACCCGCGACAGTGCAAGAATACACGCTGGACAACCAACTCTGCGAAAACTCAAAGGCAGCGTCCACGCAAGATCCACCCACTCAGATTAGCACATAGTTGTAAAGCGAGAACCATAAGTATCCGATCTGAGTTCGCATGATCCGATGTGACTTCTAAAAAGTTCTAAAAGGATATACTGGCCTGTGATACGTATCACAAACCGCCCCTCGTATCACAATCCTCCCCCTGAGGACGTGTGCTCACGCATCGATCGATCATGGAGTGCAACAGCACCCATGCAGTTGCAGCTCCTCTTTGCCTGCGAGCCGTTGGGACGAACAGTCCGAAACTTGCCCGCGCCCTCAAAACAGGGTCCCCAGGAACTGGTTCTTTGAGGGTTTTGAACAATTTGAGCTTCATAACTGTAATGAGGGCCATGGAAAGGCCCTAAACATGAGGGGCAAAATTTTGCCTGGACGCCGCCTTTAAGAGCTGGACTACAAAACTCTTTCATTCTCTTTATGCGCCGGATCTTTCTCCAACAGATTATCAATTTTTTAAGCATTTCAATCACTTTCCGCACGGAGAAATATTAAAACATCAAGAGGCTGCAAAAACCGCCTTCCAAGATTTCGTTTAGCAAGCCAGAATTCTATGCTATTGGAATAAGAAAACTTGCTCCACGTTGGCAAACACTCAGACAATTGTTGCAGCGGCCCGGTCGCCCAACTGGGCTTCGCTGTTGAGCCGCGGCACCTAAATATCAGCCTTACGTGCATTAGGCCCAGAAGCGGCCCACAGGTGTGAGCTGGCGACCCGCGCACATAGTTGATGCCATGCTGAGGGTGGCCCGCACGCCCATGTAGGCTCATAATTTCACTGGCGGCTCGCGCACTCATACACACGCATGCCGAAATTAACAAAGACCCTCTCATCCATATGAATTGACGCACGTTGCAAGAACAAGGGTTACTCGCGTATACGACGCAGTAAAAGGGATGCCATCGGAGCTTGCAGGAGGTGTATTCTTGCATTTAGGCTGACAACAGGTTTCCTTGTGAGTTGACCGTTGATGGGGTTTCAAATGATCTCGTGTAGTTCGATCAGCAGTGTAAAGCAGGAACGATTTCCTATTTTTTGACTTCACATGGGTTGTATCCACATTTGAGGTGACCTGTGCATGCAGGTGCAGCCGAGCAGAAACCCAACCCTAGGGTGGCCCTGCTATGCTAGCGCGGGTCAACAAGGCAAAGAAGGCATTGAAATACAGGCTGGCCCGCTAGTCCGGGTGACAGGGTCGCTGCACACATTGGAACCGTCGCTGGCCCGCGCTAACTTGGCAGGGAAAGACCAGAACGGGTTTTCGCCCAGCCGGCCATGAGCGCGCGGGTGGCCGCAAAAATGTCTGAGCATGTGTAAAATTGCTGGTCCTTATTTTGAATGAATATCTTTTGCCTGTGCCGTGCTATGTTTTTTCTTTGAAATTGAGGTATACAAACGGACATTATTTTTGCGCCAATCTAATACAATGTTAGACTCGGGACGAATTGCGCTATTATTCTGGATTGCTATCAACTGCACAAGTTGCAAGCCACGACAAATGTGACTAATCAAACATGTTATTATTGATATAAGTACAAGATTACGAAGCAAATGAGGCAGAAGGACGAAGATCAAGAAATAGGTTCGCGGGAACAGAGAGGAACCCCTCAATCTACTTTGGTGAGTGTTGCTAATTTCACACCTTAGCTGAAATTCTAGATTCATGCAATCTTCCGAAAAAGTAATTCAGCGTGTGTTTGGTAATCACAGTCTCGACTTTCAAGTAGATTTATCGGTACTTTTCTGTTATCAGGACCCATTTTTTCAAAGAAAGATATTGCTTCTATCCTTGTACCACATTTTGTCCCAGCTTCACAGGGAGGAGTGTCAACCTTCTGCTACGTTTCAAAAAAAATTGACATGTGTCATCTACATGTTTAACAGGTTCTACCAAGAGTTTGTATTACCCTACTTAGCGATGTAAGCTCAATCTGTTTTTAATTTGATTTTGACCTCATTTCGATCAGACAGTTGAACTTAACATTTTCGTAATAATAATGACATACTATCATCGACGAACAGACTGGACTTGCTCAGGATCTAGAAGTGCGCTAGCGCGCGTAATTTAAGACGCAAAATATGCAGCCGCAAGGTAATTAATGCTATCATTCATAGTCTTTTCGGCTAAATTCGTATGGGCGAGAAGGGTTTGAAGAGAAGTACACTTTTGATTCACTGCTGAAAACAAGCAGTATGTCCTAGCATAAGTTCGCGATTGTTTTGCGCTCATGTAAGTTAAACAGCTTTAAAATATCACAAATTCTCTTCATCTTACCGGAAATGATTTCGAAAATAAAAACATGTCAAAATGGAATAAAACGTGTCAATTTTTTGTGACGCGTGGCAGTCCTCGCAGAACCTAGGGAAAATTATTCTTAACTGAAGAATGTGTATGAGAGCAAATGGGTTCGAATAACGGAAAAGAACCGATTTTTCTTGTAGCGATCTTCACAAGCAAAACGGTAGCGCTATTTTCTTCATTGGGATGAGGTGAAGCGGTATGCTTTTAATCCTACTCGCTAAGCGAACAGTCCACGATGCCGGGGACAGAAGGGGGTCACTTCTGAAAGGAGTGATAATGAGAGAGAGAAAGTGAGAGATTCTGAAATATGTCACGCACCCGCCACACAACATATGTAGAGATCTGTAAGCAAGATTTGGACATGTACTCACAGCGGAGTGGACTTGTCCTTGTCCATGATTGTCGCCGCGCCGCCTTTCCCATGCTTCGTTGTATGTAGTTCAGTTGCGGGATGTCTGAACGAGAAGTGGAGAACGTTGTACGTTGGTTTCCACGTGCCGCTCCAAACCGCGCTACTCTTCATGGCTCATTTCGTAGTACTTTTTGCAAAGGCCAATCCGTGTCGCTTGAAGGGCTTGCAAGGGTGGCGCTCTTTTACTCAAAGATCACTGTCCTTGCCTTCAAATCGGTTTCTTTGGACAACATTCTACGTAGAAACCATATAGAGCAAACGCGGACAGCCGAACACTATAATGATCCTTACACAAAGATTGATGCGCAGAAAGGAACTTACCCAAACGATGACAATTGCAAAAGCAAAAAAGAAGCGCCACCGGATTTGTTTGCCCGACAATAAGACTAATTCTAGTGGTAAGGCCATAGGCATGGTTTACGGGGTCTCGAAAAAGTACGTAAAATAAAATTTGGAAATTCGAATAATAAAGACGAGGTTGCCGAGATTCCGCACAGTTATTATTCGAATGTTTTATTCGAATTCGTTTTCCTAACGCTGTTTTCGGCGGTGCACGCGAGTTAAATTCTTGGACTGTCCTGGTCCTGTATTTCACCTACTTGGCGACGTCAGGCTCAATGTTATCGCTAAGGAAAGCCTGCGGGCTCTAACTGACTCGAAACAGCCGCGGCCCAAAAAAAAACATTTGCTCGAACTCCGAGTCATACTGAAAGCTCTGCATATTATAAACGGGCCTAAGTCTTAACATAGTTTCTGCATCGAGCAAGCCTCGTCCTATCGGACACCAACCATATCCTAACTCCGGCCACGGATCTTAATAGACGCCCTGCACATTTTTCGGGTCTCCTAGACAGCGACCTGATAGAATCAGTCTGGCAAGCGCGAACCTTTCTAGACGCCACCATTTCAAATGCTCTAAGCAAAAATATTACTCGTGCAAGATATGCCGCAACTATGGAGCTACCCTCGACATTCGGGGCGTGTTCGTTGCTCGGGCTATGGCGTAAAGTCAGCCTTCGATAATGCTTCGGATGACTGCTGGTAGAATTACTTGATCATGGACCCAGATATGTTGTCGACCTTGCAAAGATGGGCTAGACATCATGACAAAAAGGAAAAAAAGTTTGATGTAGACGTGACCTTTACGCGAGGGTGAGGAAAATGATAAACGTGTTAAAAATTCGACAAATATAACAGATATATTTTATCGCCTTTAGCGGGCGCGTATCGAGCCACCCGCGAATGCTTACCGCGCATTCATCAGGTTCTTGCCGCACATCCGCAGGAGTCGTTCCGACGATTATCGGCGTAATTGCAAGTAATTCTCGCGCGCTTAATGGGCGTTCATTCGTGCAGTCACGGCATGAATAAAACGTGTGCCGCCCCTTTTCGACGGTGTCGCGATAATTCTGAGGACAAGTCGTAACAAGACCTCTCTGCTCCCTACCTATCCGAGGATACGCGGGAGCCGACAATACCCGGAACGCGAGCAATGGCACCTCTAATCTCGCGCCAAGTCAACAATATCATGGCGGGACCTGCTTGATTTCGACTTTTTTGCCTCGGAATGACTGGAGAAACGCCCATTCTAGGAGTGAATTCGAATTGTTGCTCCGCACCAGCCCAAGCGAAATGAATAAAATGAGGACGCTGCCCATCGCTGAAACATCTAAGGAACACCAAGATTACTCGAAGAGGCAAATAGGCTTTGCTGTACGTAAACTGGGAAACCGAACATACTAAAGTGTGAATATAGGAGACGGAAAGGTCGATGAAAAATCAGTTTTTAAATGTGTGACGCTAACATCCCGAAGAGCCTTTTTTAGATCGAATCAGAACCTTTTTTCAGGAAATGTTTTGATTCCAAGTGTGGCGACGAACTACAATTGGAAGCAGCAAACGTTACAGGTGATTTGTCAATTGACTTAGCACAGCAGCAAAGAACACCACTACGGACATCTTTGCATGTGTCTCTCTCTGATAGAGCACAATGTCATTCTTTCGCTCCACCATTTCTTTCGAGTACGGACGATCTTAAAGGCAGTGTCCGGACAAAAACTCGATTTTGAGATTTTGTACTTACCCGGGCCTATTCGCTACGCTGAATCCGAAAATGCGCATTGGAGAGCGCGAAAACGGCGAAAAAGGGCTCTAACGCAGGAGGGAAATCAGAAGTGGGCGGGGTCTTCCCCATTGTGAATTTCGCGCTCCCGGCTTCTGAAGCGATTTTCTCAACTCCGCTAGCCCTCTGAGATCTCCACAGGCCAGGTGCAAACGCATGACTTGAAATCGGGACCGAGAAGATCGCTCCGGAAGCTTGGAGCGTGAATCCGCAGCGGGGAAGACCCCGCCCACTTCTGGTTTCCCTCCTGCGTTAGAGTTCTTTTTCGCCGTTTCCGCGCTTTCTAATGTGGATTTTCGGATTCAGCATAGCGAATAGGACCGGGTAAGCACAAAATCTCAAAATCGAGTTTCTGCCCGGACACTGCCTTTAAGAGGCGTACATTAACATCCCCGCCAAAGAGAGGGGAGGGATAGCAGCTCAAAAGAAAGTTTCATATCCTAATGCTCCAGATATCTGGATTTCACGCTTTGTACTTTTCATTATTCCCACCACTCTTCATTATGAAGGAACATATTGAACATACTCATATTGAACAGGAACAAGAAGCTGTACAAGTTAATGAAAACCAAAGTCCCAAAGTTGTATTGCTTATCTAATTCGACAGTGCTAAGCATGAGCTGATAAGAACAAACGGATGTTTGAAATATTGAATTTCTCAATAATTCCAACTTTCGATTTATGGCTCATGGCTCCAAGACATCATTTGTTCTTAACAGCAATACGCTTAGCACTTTGGGTTAGATAATACCCTAAAATCCGGCACATAAGATCGCCTCGCAGTAAAGACCGCCTCGCCGATAAGACCGCAAAAGAGCTCTCAGTTAAGTCCGCTTTCGTGACAGCCTCGCGCACCTCGCGCGCCGCCAAGTCCCGCGGATAAGTCCGCCTTATTTTTTTCACATGAAAACAAGAAGGATGCGCAATTGCGCTGCCTTTTTTGGTCTCAGAATGAACCGAAGCAACAGATCTTTATTCAGGTAGCATTCCATGTTCATCATCATCAAAATCAAAAGAACGATCATCATCAGCGTTATCATCAGCAACAACCAAAGCGTCGAAATCCTCTTCCATGGCATTGATCATTGATTCGTCATCGAGAGCCCTGGTAAAACTGTTCGCAATGGTCTCTTCAGTATCGCATTGAAACTCTCGTAGACTAGTGCTGCTACTTCGCCGTAGGCATACCCTCGATACATAGAGCCACATACTCTGGTAACCTTCACTTTGAGGGCTATGAGGGGACACAACCTTCACCTGGGAAAAAAATAGAAGTTATCCGGGGCGAAGCCCCGGATGTTATGATCCTGACTTCGGAAGAATGTGAATGAACCAAATATAGGAAAGAATGTTTGAAGAATGTCTCAGCGAAACCGAGAAATTGCTTTTTTAAAGCCTTTTTTACGCTGAAAAGAGAATTTCTGTAAAAATTTCCTCAGAATTCAGGACAACGTTCCTCATTTAGCCTCCCACTTGACCAAAAATGAGTTTCAAAAGTTTGGAAAGCTGTTGGAGTTGAATTAAAATGAGAAATTGCACTTAATTGTGCACAGAGAGTCGCGCACGAAAATGCTGGTCTATCTCGTTAGTAAGTGACTTTTAAAGCTTGGGACGTTGTCAGCTCTCCTCGTCGTGTCATGACGGTCAGAATGATATATAATGTTACAGGGTTTCGTTGAGACCCCGCGGAGATCTACGACCAGAGCCAAATGCCCCGTCGGCTCTGGTCTGTCTCCGCTGCTCGTCTGCGTCTCCGCGCGCTGCGCGCTACCTCGCTACCCCAAACGCGGGGCGCGGGGCATTTGGCTCTGGTACCCTTTTCTTCGCTGTTTCGCACCCAATTTTAGCAAGCTATATATCATTTTGAAGCTCTTGATCTATATTTTTACGCTGACAACGTCCCAAAATCACATTCCTTGATTTGGACGAGAAATCCGGCAAAAACCTTGTTTTCGAAAATCTCTTGTTTTTCTTCTAATTTACCTCTTTTTACCCGGTTTTTTCGTGCATTCTATAGATCTTGCTTCTGTTCATAATGCAGACAACCACCCAGCCTTCACCTCTTCGATTATTGTGGATTTTTTTGCGAAAAATCGTAAAAAGTGCGTTTTTCTTTACCTTGTTCTGTTTCAGTGCCTTCGCATCGATTTTTTTCCAGCTTGGGCGATTGTTGCTCAGAACAATAAGCGCAAAAATCCAGACAACGTCCCAGGAAACAGGAACGTCAATGCGGGGGTAAAAATTCAAAGGACGCATTAAAAATCAAAACCCCGTGCTGCGAATTGCTGGTCCTGAAGCGAAAACTTGCACTTTGAAAGCCGCCATATGAAAGATTTCAAGCCTCATTGCAGCGTTTTTATCCTATTTTCAGCAGTCTCTTTTGCTTTTTGTATCTGTTTTGTGTCATTTTCTCTTCTCTGATCATCTTCAAACAACCTTCACTATTTATGACGTCAGATGTTCAAACAACCTTCACTTTTGAAGCCCTGTCTCTAGACTATCGAAGGTATGGCCGTAGGTCATCCTTTTCCTGGCGCCGCCTGTTGTGTCTCGTGCTGAATCGGCCATCCATCGCTCCCATCCCGCCCTCAGATTGTCTTTGAAGGGCTTGCTGATGCCGACGTCGAGAGGCTGTAGATATTTGGTCATTCCGCCTGGAATGACCGCGATCTTTGAGTGCTCCTTGAAAAGCTCTCGGACGTCTTCTGTGAGATGGCACCTTAAAAAAGCAAGATAAGCTCAAAAATGGTAAAATACGAAACGATACCTTGCAGAATTCAATATCAGCAATGACTGGGAGGGATCGTTGACATAGCGTTTCCTTTTGTTCCACACCCCGAGGAGCCATGTCTTCATCAGTTCGTGATTCATCCAGCCTCTTTCGTTGGCACGCACAATCACTTCAGGAGGGAAGTTATCCTTTGGAACCCTCTTTTTCTTGAATATTATCATCGGTCTTAATTTCTCTCCAGCGGCCGTCGCAGAGAGGACGACGGTAAAATTCGACTTTTCATGTCCTGTTGAGTCTCCCACTTGATCCACAGTCCTTGAATAAACCATATCGAAGGGCACTGGGACTTCATCGACATTCCCAAGATTGTGGGGGGAGATGTAAAGCGATTCCCTTAGTACGAATCTCCTGAAGTCCGCGCAGATGTCCTCGCAATCCTCCGGAAGTGCTTGACCGACACTGGTTCTTCGCCTCAGAGATAGGTTCTTTCTCTTCATGAAGCGTCTGCACCACATCGGCGATGCTTTGAAGTCCTGGTGGCCAAATTCCCGCGCTAGCTGCAATGCCTTCTCGCGAATGTTCTTGACAAGAAGTGTTCGGCTTCCTTCTCGCACAATCCATTCATGGAGAGCTTCTTCGACTTCCTCCACTTTTGGCTTCCCATAGCGGTTGGCACGTTGCCTCAGTGGCCTATCCTCTAAATTTTCTTTATCGGCCTTCCATCTTCTAACCAGACGATCAGAGACTTCGTAGCGAACAGCGGCAGCCAATGTTCCATGTTGCAGGGCATATTCCACCACGTTAAGCTTAAAAAGCGACGTGTAGGACTTCCTCCTGGGAGCCATTGAGATCCGAGATACCTGAACAGCTTGAGTCACAGCGTGTGAGAGTATGTTGGAAATATAGGGCTCTGCGTGATTGCGAACTTCGCTGAGTTAGCGGTCATTGCTTACTGGAATCACGCGGAGTCCTATAAATTTGTGCTGATCATCGAAAGGTTTACTCTTTTACAAGAAAAAGCAGGCGGCGTCAAATTTGACTACTCTATCTTTTGTCTTGGATGTACAGGCTTAATGAAACAACAGATGAGAAAAAGAACAAGGAAGCCTAATGCTTTGCTAAGGTTGAGCATTCTCAGGCTGTCACTCTTCCGTTCAAGAAAGCATTTGACAAAAGCCGTATGGCATGGGTCAACAGAGACTACGTTCAGAACATGAAAACAATAGAGGAAGCAAAAAGTATAGGAGTCAGGTTCAAGGGTTGTAGCCTGTACGGGTTCGAGAGATGTATTAAAAACATTGTAGCTTTTAAAACGATAAGATGAATGATAAGATGAGATGATTGCAATGATATAATGAGAAAACCTATTATGATTTTTCGGACAGAAAAATTCCATGTGTACAAGCACTGTCTTATATAGGAAAAGAACCCACCAGCGTATGTGATGACCAATCCGCGACGAAACTGTCAGCAATTAGACTGCACGACTTGTCGAATCCTTTAGCGGTCTCTTTTAGGGGAGTTCACGGCTTGATTCCAATCGCTGAAACATGTGATATCCAGAACAACTTCTCTGTAGCGTTTTGCAAAACTACGAACCGTTTGTGTCTTTGTACTTCGTCACTTACTGCTTGGAACAGAGTATGCGCGACGATCAGCGTTCTAAAAAAGCTTTGTAGGAGATGCATGTACTGTAGTTAGCCTATATCATAAACCTCCCCTGCCTAATATTCCTGAAAATGGGGTAAAATTCTACCTTACTATCGCGTCATCAATTCCAACACACAAGAAATGTTATATCTAAGAAAAGAACTCACCTATCCAGCGTATATGATGACAAATCCTCGGCGAAACTGTCAGCAACTAGTCTGCACGGCTTGTCGAATACTTTGGCTCTTCCTTTCAGGCGATTTCGCGGCCTTGTTTAAATCTACACCGGCAAGCTACGCGGGCGGTCGCGCGCGTTTGTGCTCCTAGGTCGCGCTTGCTCATGCTCAGGACAGACGGACGTATCTGAGAGAGGATTTAGGTGGACTTATCTGTGAGACCTTTTGCGGCGTTTTCCCATCGATTTTCCTGCCAAAACTGCAGATAAGTCCGTTCTTATATGCCGGATTTTAGGGTATATATACCTTATATATAAAGCTGATTGTCTGTTTGTGTGTCTGTGTGTGTGTCTGTACGTATGTTCCGAACAGAAAATTCCATTTCTCAACCGATCCTGACCAAACTTGGCACACATACACTTCGGGGCGGGGCGGGTGTCACAGGCTACTTTTCGTTATCGATCGATATCGATTTTATCGATTTTTTGCAAAATTTGAGCTACGGGGCTGGGAGTTGGCACAGGGGGGTAATCGAGCATGCTGATTACAAATATGTTATTGACAGGGACGGGGGGAGCCGGGTTTGCCAACTAGTATATATATATCAGTGCAACTTTGGACGTTTTCACTGTATTCGAAGAAGGAAAAATGACTTTAAAGAAAAAACGATTGGCGGCGGGGAGCCATCAGGGGGTCATAAGAATAGTCGGAAAATTTGGCTGTACAGCTTCTTGTTCCTGTTCAATATGTTCACAGTGAAGGATGTTGGGATATTAACGGATAGGTAGAAGGTATGAAGACTAGATATCTGGATTTCACGGTTCCAGTCTTAAATGTTCCTACTTTCCTACCGCCGAGTTGTACAAGCATTTGCCAGCTTTTCTAAAAATTCCATGATGACCCCTGCAGCGGCCCGTCTTTTCAGAGCATTCTTCGAAGTTAATTGTAGTATTTATCTAAACTAAAAGTGGTTAGCGTGTTTATGTTAACGACAAATGAGTTGTTGATCAAAGATAATCAATACAACTTTGGAGTGTTTTTTCGTTGACTATGCAGAAAGGAAAATGGTTTTGAACAAAATACGGTCGGCCGAGGGGAATCACCGGGAGTTATATAAAAATAGAAAATGCGGCTTGTAAGGTTTCTTTCTCCTATAAACTGTTCACAAAAAAAGGTAATAGGATTTCCTATGCAGAGTGAAATCAGACATCCGGAGCTTTAGGATATGAAGGGTTTTTTTGAGCAGGGCCCGGCACGAGGTGCGCAAATGACAGGCTGGAAATCGTTTTGAATAAAAAGCAAAGGGAATATCGTTCTTGCGGGGTCCGGGGCGAAGCTCCAGAATTAGTACTTCATGCTCTCTGCTTATCTTAACATATTATGTGCCTCAACAGGCGAACATTGGAATTCGAGCGCTTCAAACCGCGCCGTCGCTAATTGCCGCACGCGCGACGTCGCCCAAGCGATGCTATTTGCAAAAACTTACATGTCTACTTTTCAATGTATGCGTAGCGATAAAGCACCAAATTTCGTAAGCGAACGAAGAAAGGCTAGTGGAAACGTTTGATAATATGAAATTAGGTGAATGGAAAGTGCAATAAGTTTTTTCCAAAATTTTGCATAGCTGGTGAATGAAGATGTGACTTCAAATGGCTCGTTTGCAACGCTCAGATGATGACATGGAAGACTTGGCATGTACATGAACACGACCATGTAGGGGTTAATCGAGAAGTTTCATTGAAAAACTATGTGTAGGCTGCTGCATGACGAAGGCGCAGTTTCTTTGGGCGCGAATGCGGTTTCATTAGCTCCAAAGCGCACGAGGCGCAGGGTTTACAACGGTGAAGAGACGCTCGCGCCGCGTCCGCGCCGCTTAACTAATACTGCTTCTGCGCCTTCGTCATGCAGTAGCCTTTAGATGGGTAGTGGAAAGCTTTTTTTCTAGAAATTTCCCACTACCATAAAATGGAAAAATGGCTCGTCTGCAACGTACTCAGATAATCGCCGGGGGCAGGCGGTCCGCAAACTCGCGCTTTTCTGCAGGCGGTCAGCAGAATTTTGGGGCGTGTCCAAACCTTCAGCGGGCGGTACTTCCGCGCTCTGCCAGCGGGCAGCAATACAGAATTTTCTGCGAGCGCTCGTAAAATAATATCTTCCAGCGAGCGCTGGCCAAACTTTCAGCAAGCGCTCGGACTCTTTTTAGGTATTTTCGGGCGTACGTCGAGCGCAGGTAAGACTCTGGTGGCAGAGGTGTCACCGTTGGTTTAATTACTCAAGTTTGAGGTACTTTCTCTCAGCGGAAAGTACCTGGGGGTTGCGCGGTCCTCCACAAAGGAACGTGCGGCCCTCGAAATTTTTGCATATTCTCGCGGAAAGTCCGCGAGAATGCGGCCACTGCGCCGCAGCTAATCCATAAAGAAACCGCGATTGTTCTTCAAGCATTCGTCTTTAATTTTGCCAACTTTCTTCCAAATTTCTGCAAGCGGGCCGCAAAAAATCAACGAACTATTTTTCCGGTGCGCGCTTGCTCAAAATTCGCATGGCCGCCTGCCCCCGGCGGTTATCTGAGTAGAGGTGACGAAATTTCGCGGGATTTGGTATGTATACGCGCAGTGGGACTAAGAAACAAAGTATGAAAAAATACAAAAACTTATGTCAACGAAGAGCGTGCCCAACTTTCTTCCAAATTAGGTGGGCAGTTGTCCACCTAATAATGAGGTAGGCAAAACTTCCGCTTCACATATGTTTTTCAAACTTTTTACATGAACGTTAACGTGTTCTATACCATTTTGGTTCAAAAACTCCTTTCATCCGTGTTAGGATGCGGTATAGCTACGACGGCGGTCCCTTGAAAGGAGAAAGCGCGCTCCAACCAAACATATGCAGCTGGCGGGATCAAGTATGGAACGTAAAAATCGATAGTAGTAAAGGCGAAGTCGTTTTAGAGTTGTTCATTTGCCCCCTTGTGCTGGGCCCTGTTTTTGAGCCGCGATTCCATCTCCGGAAAGAATCTTGAAGCATGCATGCCTTAGTCGCCGCCGCGGGTTTTATCCTTTGGTGCGATGACTCGCCCATTTCATAGGTTAAATACAACAATGTGAGCCATAAGTAAAGCCAAAATAGTTACTCCACCCTCTAAATCAAGTTTAGATAATGCTTGGCCAGACAAGAAAACCAGTGTTCCGTGGGTGATAATCAATGGAGTTTCTTTGGAAAGCCTACAAGATAAAATAAACAATTTGGCACCACAGCTATGCGAGTGGTGAGTCCGCTGCATTCTTAAGTGCTTCATAGATGACTACAGTAGATAATCAATATGTTCATTTTAATTCAGGTACAACGGAAGCAAAAACATCTCCTATTGTGCCGAAATTGCAGATGAAGCGCACAAAACAAAACGATCATTTCTGAGATGAGAATCTGGGCGCCATTCTCCAACTCATATATTATTGATTTTGTAATACAAGAAGATCTTCCATGAAAATCGATCCGTTGTGTAAATTTGTGATTAGGTATGATTTTTCCAGGGCAAGCAGATGAGGTGCGAAAAATAATCTTAACAACTCTGTATTGTACTGACATCTATTATTATTCTTTAATTACGTATGACACTTCTTTGCGCAAGTGACATCTTATCAGTCTACACATATATGAAACTCAAAATGTGTAAAAATGTTAAAATTATGTGAAAGGTTGAGAAACAGTACTTTGAAACAAATGTTTGAGAGTTGGCGTTATCAAATAAAGATTCTGCAGGGGAATACTTTCCAAAATTTTCACTTTATAACGCGCGTTTGAATAAACCGATATAGACAGTCTCGGGTGAGACCGAGATAGACAGCTAGCTATTCCATAGGTTGTAAAGGAAAGAATGTCGTTTTTCACAAAAAATCAATTAAAGGGATTTGGAAAAAATGTGTGAGACCTTTTCCCGGAGCCAAGAAAGCGCTGCAGCTTGGCTTACGAACGTTGGCAGAAGTCATATGAGTGAAGTTAAGAGCCAAAACATACAAATAACTCATAATGCCAAAAGTCGATTTTCGCCACAAAAATCTTAGAACCTCTCGCTTGCTCCTGCATGTAAAAGACACACACTTAATGGGGTACTACATCTTCTTTCATGCTTAGAAATCGAAGAAATTTGAAAAAGGCAAAAGCAAAGGCCCCATTAATCCTGGACTTCTCCCGTATAAGCCAGCGTATGCTGTGAGCCTTCAAAACTTTTAGCAAAAAGGTTTGTTTTTGGATGTGCTCTAGTTCTCCAATTTTAACTGGGAAAATCCGAACAACTTTTTTTTCTTTGCTGGACATAATTATAAAGTCTCTGAAAATCCTTCTAAATTGCGTTCTTCATGATGTCTGTCTGAAACTTTGCTATGTAGTCCGCATGTAGCCTACCATGGCCCCTCAAAACGACTCACAATCTTTATGAATTTAAGCGGGGAAAAATAGAAAACTTTGAAAAAGCCCTTACTAAAAGCTGGACAAAATTATACAGATTTTTTTCCAACGCTATCACATCTCTTGACTCTGATATTTTTTTGTTCAGTTTCATATTGAATTATGAAACATTTGCAAAATATGCGACTTGTAATCCTTTTCAAAGAGAAATGATCACTGCATTTTTTGCTTCCAAAAGCACCAAAAGTCAATCTGCTTTATCAAACCGCTGGTTTGAGGAGCTTCAAGCTCTTGTTCATCTCATAATAGTCATGGGATCCACTGCCTCTTCGATAAATGAGGTGAAGAACGGTTTTGTGAAGTCTGCGTATCGCTGATAATGACGAACAGACTCCACTCTCAACATAGGTTTGTCACGCGCTTTCAACAACAAAACTCAGTTTTCATAGCTGTCAACAGTAAAGCAATGTGCATAGTTAGGAGAGAATTTCGAAGTTAGCATTATGGTTCAAATGCAGTTGTCATCTGCTGAATGTTGAGTGGAGCACCTCGCATGATCATAGCCAACTCAGATCACGAGATAGAACAGGAGACCGCTCAGAACTTCAAAATTTCAGTTAATCTCATCCTTTGGGTAGAGTATGACATAAAACAGAGAGAAAAATAATGAGATTTTTGATTTTCTCGAATCCACTGCTCGCAGAGAATTTTCGTGGAAAGTATTTTAGGTCTAGATCGCGACCGCATCATTAGAGATAATCTGAAAGCTGCCGCGAAAGCTGTATAACCATGTGGGCAGTGTAATAAATCAAGTCCAGCACTTCTTGAACATTGCAAACTGAGTTTTGTGGTTTGAAAGCGTGACAGCCTACTTGAGATTGGAGTCTGTCCGTCCATATCATCGATTACGCAGAGTTTACAAAGGCGTTGTCCACCTCATTTATCGAAGAGGCTCTGTGGATTCCATGACTATCATTTGAAATGAACAAGAGCTTGAAAACTCCTCAAACCAGCTGTTTGATGAAGCAGATTGATTTTTGGTGCTTTTATGAGCGACAAATGCAGTGATCATTTCTCTTTGAAAAGGATGACAGGTCGCGGATCTTGCAAATGTTTCATATTTTAGTATGTAATATTAGAGTCAGGGGATGCGATAGTGTTCAAAAAAAGTAGGTGTCTTCATAAGTTTGTCCAGCTTTTAATAGGTTTTCCGAATTTTTTTATATTTCTCGGTTCGAAGTGAACATAATTGGATGCCCTTTTGAGGGTCATGGTTGGCTAACACGCATACTATACATCAAAGTTTGAGGTAAGTTCATCAACAAGAATGCAAATTACGACAGTTTCTAGGGTGTCTTTAAAGTTCTAGCAGCTGTACAGCTAATCTGTGACAAAAAGCTTCTTCACTTGGAATCATAATGAAGTAACAAAAAAGTAGGTGTCTTCATAAGTTTGTCCAGCTTTTAATAGGTTTTCCGAATTTTTTTATATTTCTCGGTTCGAAGTGAACATAATTGGATGGCTGGCTGAGTTTCTGGTGATTATTGGAATTTTTGGTTTGCCGCTTCCTTTCTTCCTTGTACCAAAACATTTTATCGTAGGTAGTATCACCATTATATGTATGTGAGAGGATTATTTTTTCATCCGAGTCCCATGTTATTTCGAACTTTTATTAGCTTGGCTGAGTTTCTGGTGATTATTGGAATTTTTGGTTTGCCGCTTCCTTTCTTCCTTGTACTTTCTTTATCTTCTCTCAATGTATGAAGTCATACGTTGTACTTGCGTGGATCAAGAACCCTATTGCTAGCTTAGGGAAGACCTCGCTTTCAAAATGCGCAGGACCCATTCCCTGCTGAGGCCGGATCCCATTACTTCTCGACCATCTTGATTATTTTCCCAAACAGACAAGCGATTTGCTTACATCGCAGTGGGCGAAACACAAATTGGTTGTCGATATCGGGATATGCTAAGATTTACACTCAATATTCAAAGCATTTATAGTACACACCAAAAAGATTGCTATTTGGGAAGGTTGAACGAGAGGTATGCCAGAGCTTGTTATACTGGAGGCAAGCATGCAATAAACCCAATTCTTCAGCCAGGCATCCAAATCTCCTAGCAGGGACATATAAGATAACGCGGGCAAGACACCTGGAGTTGAAAAACTCAAAGCCAAATTTCAAGAATTCAAAAATTATATTTTAGGTTTCGGCATGCCACTTATAATCAGCCTATCAACATTACGCTCATCGTCGAGTCGCTGTGCATCCCTTGTCAGCAAGTTTTAGTCCACCAGCTCTATCCCTCATTTTTCAAACTTCGCTGATGTAATAAGGATTCGAATCGTACCATAATGCTGCACATATCAAAATGAGAATGATTTTATTTCCCCCAGCAGTTTAACAAGCTTAGCTATTGTTGCTATTTAATGGTTTCTTTACGTTTTCTTTATGTGCAAACGTGAAAAGGGGCAGCAGTTTACTGCCAAGAGTAAAGATCCAGATATGCTTTTTGAGAAGTCTTTTGGTTTCATTCCTTTTGAGTGAATCAGTCTTTCCAGGTCATTTATTATTTCTGGCAGAATGTTTGTGTAAACATTATTCATTACACAGAACTGCTCCAGCGGAAGTAGGTCCTTTCAAACGGGTCTCCCTATTTTATTTGCCTTTTATATTGCTTAGAGCACCTCTTCTTTGCCGGGCGATTCCTTATAAATGCAGGAACTGGAAGTCGCAGTTGTGTGTGGACACCACAGGCGGTCGCAGGATTTCCGTCCGGAGAGGGCGGGGGAACACGGAGAGGGCGGGGAATTTTTATGAAGGTGCTTTTCTCAAAAAATTTCCGAGATGCTTCTCAAATTTTGCGGCCATACAACCCAAGATTTCAGAAGGAGGAAACGCGACGACAACAATGCATCGGGGAAATTTTTTCACAAGACTATTTGAAATTCTAAAACATTTCGAAAATTGTTCTAATTATTTACAAGTATGAATAAGCTACTCACACATTTTATAACTAATGTAAGCAGCTTTAAAAATCTCGCGACGTTGGAAATTATAATCATTCCAAATCGAACTAGTGAGAAATAGTACTTTTATATTCTTCTGTGCCAATTATACGTCAAATAAAAAGAAGAACAAAAAGTCTCACTCACGTCGGAGCGGACACTGTCCAAGCGTCAAAATCGAGCATTTTAGTCGCATATATTGAGAACAAATGTTGAGCGGACACTGTCCAAGCGTCAAAATCGAGCATTTCAGTCGCATATATTGAGAACAAATGTTGAGCGTATATATAATCTAAGTTCAGGCTTGCTTGGAGAATAATATCTTTTTCTGCCAACATGGAGAAGAAGAATGTAAAATCAGTTGGTATCTCTTGTTTATTCGATGTGATCAAGTCGCAGAACAAGTTTGTACCACTAGTGCATTGCCTAGAGGAGCAGCTAATAGTTGGTTTTTACAAAAGAAACCCTAGAACAAGTTAAGGGAAGTAGCGGATTGAATCTGACTGCGATTTGCTGTTTTTAGATTATTTTCTTATTAAGATAAGCGCGTGATTGAAGAATTATAATAAAAGACAAAAAGAAAGTTCTTTATGTGTTATCTAACGAAGTTCATGAGATTCTCAACTACCTTCCTATGCTAGCCCACCGATTACTAGGGGGGGGGGGGGAGGGGGAGAGGAGGGGTATTTCAGTAGGCGGACTGTCTTAAGCATACGCATACCTAATTCTTTGCCAGCGCTATGTTTTGCTTTACCCGGTTGGAGCTTGCTTACCAATCATGTCGTGATTTCGCCTACCTACTCTGGCATTATTCTTGCAATCACCAGTATACTTGATGCTATGGTATATTTTTTCAGGAGGAATGCCTCATTCAAAAACGCAAAATCAATTTGCTTTGCAAATCAGTTCGTTAGCGGAAGCATCCAAGAAAAGATACAGTAATTTTTCGCTAAGTGGTAATAGCTAATGTAATGGTCGTTTCTATCTAGTTGCTCATTATGTGACCGGCAGGATTCTAAAAGTGATGCTGTCACAATTACTGCAGCAAAATTTGATCAACAGACGCATTAAATATAATCTTTGATGCAGAGAGTGACGTGAAGAGAAATTTTTATTTAAACAATGACAAGAATGCAGACGTATGTAACAGAATCCCTTCTGCATTGTTTCTCCAACCTTACTTGGAAGCAAAATTGAAGAAACGAGCTTATTGTTAGTTCACTGGATGTGAAAAAATAAACGGTAGCAACAAAATAACAAACTTTTTAGACTTAACTATGGACACTAATAACCAGATTACTGTTAAGCTTAGTTTGTACGATAAAACAGATAGTTATGAATTTAGAGTTATTAGGTATCCTCTAGATACATTTATGATCAATTACTGAATATACTCTCTTGCCAAGTTGGAGTCGTTTCTTTTAGTCTAATCCAGGATCCTTTGACCTTATTTGTTGCACTGGACCGTAACGGATACGCCAAGGGTAGCTATTAACTTGATGACGGTGGTGCGTACAAGGACAACGTCTTTCTGTATGCTGAAGTCGAATACAAGTGAGTTGGAGCCCATGTGTTTTGTACTCAGAAGAGGCGGGGACGGTTCAGTTATTTTTGGACTAAACAACGTTTTGTTTTGCTATGCAAAAGATATCTGCTCTATCAGCTGTAGTTAATCTAAATATCTAAATATACAATAATATTTGTTGATTGCTCTGATTTTATGAACCCCGTAGTTGCGGAACGAAAAACAGTGTGACTTAAGCTTGATTATGTTTCGCTCAACGCAAAATCATGCTCGCATGTTTTCCTGGTTTGTTTTCTTATAGCGCATCAAAGGATTATTCATTCAGGGCTGACAGCAAATGAAGTTGTTATCAATGGTGGGCCTACTCCTGATAGTGGAAAATACGAAACTGAAGCCTGGATTGAACGTATTGTTGTACAAGACTTAGAGCGTACTCCTTCTAGCGTTTCTGTAAGTTTTTGATACTCCTTTGATATTGCCGAGCATGACCAGAAAGATTCGTAATGTTTCTTTACAGATAATACGAAGTTCTGACCCAACTGCCAAATTAGAGTTCTTATACGAGCGTGATTGACGAGCAATCGTGATAAGGAAGCCCATTGTCAGCGTTACACAATCGTACAAAATCAACCTGAAATTCTGAAGTTTCAAGAAGATACAGGGCTGTTTTTAGCTCGGCTTAATTCCTTCTGTGTCGTATTTGTTGCCACCGACACGTTGTTGTTTGTTGATGACTTTATTCAGCGACAAGGTTTCCGCTGTTATTCTCCGAATGCGGCCCTGTGTTTCCTTCTTGTCCAGCACTCGCTTTTACAAATAGCTAGGCATTATTTTGTTTGCCCAGCACTGTAATCTGAAATTTTTCGTAGCTTTATTTATTAGGTTGTGTAATAAGTTCGTTCGCATTTTTTGTTTCAATTTTCTCTCAGTATTTACAAAACATTTGGCATAGTGTTAGTATGCATTCGGAAGCTCTAAGTCTACTCTACCAAAGTACTGTCATTATATTCCCAGCTTCTAAGAAGTTGAATAAAAAAATCGACTACAAACCGAAAAATCTGAAATGGCGAAAATCCCATTTTCGACAATCATGTTATGCCGCACCTTGAATGGGTTTGAGGGCTTAAGAAATAGCTCAAAAATTTTGCGACATGCATAAATAGAATACTATAGCTTCCGCAGATTACCTCTAATGCTAAAAACTTTAGAAAACAATTCATATTGTAAGCTCAAAAATGGTATGTTTTTTTTATCTTTTTGGTGTCAACTTTAAGCATCTGAAGGCATCTCCTAAGAAAGGTGGTAGCCGAATAATCCAGGAATTGGCAGACATGTGGTCTATGATCGCTAAATCATCGAATAAATGGCTTATATAGTCAAAAATTTAGAATTCGAGGGACACATAGCCCACGGACGTAAGACAGCGAACACCGCTGCGGCAAAGCCTTGCTACGCCGAGTTTTGCAAAAATTGCATTAAACGGTCGGTGAAAGGAAATGGGCAATCGTAAATAGTATCAGTAAATGCACAAATTATTAGTCAGTTGTTTTTCTTCGTTGTCAAGCTTTTTGAATAAATTTCAACAATGAATAACGGGAAAACTACGGAAGAAAAAAGATGTCGAAAATGGGATTTTTGCCACTTCAGATTTTTCGGTTTGTAGTCGAATTTTTTATTCAAATTTTCAAAAACTGAAAATATAATGATAGTATTTTGGTAGAGCAAGCTTAGAGCTTCCGAACGCATACTAACACTATGTCAAATGCTTTGCTTTTATTGAGAAAAAATCAAAACAAAAAATGCGAACGAACTTATTACACGACCTAATAATTTCTAGTGTCTTAGCTGTCTCCGTTGCGATACCCTTGTTCGATTCTAAGTTTTTAATTTATTGGTGGTCTAAGTGGTTCAGGTTCTTCTGGAGGAGTGGCATTCTGCTCTCTTCGTTGATTTATCTGCAAAATTTGTGTTCAGTAAAATACCGTTTCGTTTACTATTCACAATAATTACGATGATCAAAGGATGAAGTTTCATTGGCAAAAAAAAATTTCTGAGTTATGACTATTACTTACTATCTGCAAGATTTACTATATATAAAGTTTCATAAACGAGGGAATTTCAGACAAAATTTCCAGAGCGATATTTGAAACTAACCAGGAGTGAACTGTCTTCTCAAAGTAATAGCCGAGCTCCGTTTTCTAAAAGAAATTTTTGATTAAATGTCAGTCGCAGCAGTACATGCGAACTCACAATCAAATTAATCATGCTCAAAATGCACATATGAGTTTCTTCTTCTGAAAATGAGCTTCTGATCAAATGTCAGCCGCACGCAGTACACGCAAGCTGACAATTACTCATGCTCACATTGCAAATATGAGCTCCATCCTCTGAAAATGAGCTTTTCATCAAACACCAGCTTGCACACAGCATATGCAAATTTGCACCACATATTTCGCTAGTGAACAAGTGCAAAAAAATTTTCCGGGGCTCCGCCCCGGACCCCGCTAAAACGATATCCCCTTTGCTTTTTGCTCCAAAAACGATGTCCAGCCTGCTTCTAGACGATCTGTGCAGGGCCCTGTAATTGTGGTTCTTCTCTGTCCAAACACCGCAAAAAACGATATGCCCTTTTGCTCTTCCCCAGAAACGATATCCAGCTTGACACTATCGCGTTGTGGCGAGCCTCAAATTTACCTCCTTATACGAGCTTCTTTTCTAGACGCACACATCAGTGTCCGAGTTTTTTACCTTTACATCTCTACAAAATTTATTGATTTAGAGAGAGAGAGTCATCCCCTAGTAGTTTATTCGAAGAACTCGTAACGGCATGTGCTCAGCCACTCTTCCAACTTGCGTTATCCAAGTGCGCCGGTCGTCTGACAGTAGGCACCGACTCCAGATTCCCAGGCCTTTAACGCAGACAGGTGGTGTCTCGCCTGCACCATTGATACTCAAGAAGAAGGTAGCTATCAGGGACGAAAAGTAAGAGCTAAGGTTTGTGTATGCAACCTTTATTATCACATTGTCTTAGGCAGGCGCCATACTCCTCGAGGAGTATAGCATGGCGGGGGGCGATCGCCAATCGCCACGACTTGCGATGGCCAGTCGCTAAAATTGGCAACTGCACATTAGACGCTATCGATTGCTGGCATGAGTTTACATGTCCGATCAATACCTATCCAAAGTGTGGTCCGCCAAAACTGGCGATCGCAAATCGCTACGATTGACGACCCCCAATCTCCAATATCGGTGATTGTGCCTTTCATAAGTACTGATCACTAACAAATTAGCACATGTCTAATCGATGCGCATCCAATGTGGAGTCGCCAACATTGGCGATTGGCGATCGCCAGTGTAGCGATTGGCGATCGCCAGTCGTAGCGATTAAGGATCGCCAATATCGGCGACAAAAAAGCCGGTTTTACACGTATTTGATGCCTATCGATCGTCGCCATGCTATACTCCTCAAGGAGTGTAGCGCCTGCCTCAATGCTCTTGAACCCAGCTTGAGTTCACGCTCTCCCCGAACATCACTCTCAGCATCGGACACTACACCGAGGTGTAGTCGCCTCCATTCATCATAGACATTGTTTTTTTTGGTTTTTTTACGGTTTCATCTCTTCAAGATTGCTCATAAATACACTACTGTACTATGACATATCACAAACGGACTGTTTTCGCCAGTTTTGCCTTGTCGTGTATATGATTCCCCAAGTCTTGTGTACATGATGCTGCTATGAGCTGTGACATTCTTATAAACATTCCGTTCTTTTTATGTCTTTCACTTATCGTTAGAAGCCTTAAATAATTTTGCATGCCTTTTTGGCATTAAGTTCAAGCAAGATTCTTAAGGCATTTGTGCAAAAATAGTGCATTCCGTGCATCCTGCACAGTTGAAAAGCATGAAATGTGAAAAATCTGCCTATTGTTCATTTGTTTCCTTTCTCGATCTTCTTTCTCGGTGCGATATTTTCGACATTACGGCTGCAACTACCCATTTTACAAATCCTGTCATCAAGCCATAACTTATACTCCAATGCGAAAGCCCTGTGTCTCATGTGTACAAAAACTAGCTACACAGAACGGAGACAATGTATGATCAGCTGTATGCACATTCGTGCAGGTTCTTTGATTTCTTGTGTCCGTCTCTGATGACTCTGCACAAAAAAATTGTTAGAAGAAAAACCCACGTTTCCGTTATCCAGATTCAGTCCACGCACAGAAGGAAGTGTCATTCTTCTGTCATCTTTACAAACAAAGGGCATATCTCTACGTGTATGACAGTCCTACCAAAAATTTTGTTTTGCTTACTTACCAAAGTAAAATCATAACTTGCTGAGTTCGTGAGTTGTTTTTCAATTACGGATAAAAGCAATCAAGATGTTCTGATATATTTTCCATGTTCGGCTGTCTTTCAATCTTGTCATGTCATGTAGTCGTATAATATAGTATTTGGCAAAGAGACAAGATAGATTATGAACTTTTTATTGGCCGCGTTTCGGCGGCCTCGCTCGTCAGAGCCTGGAAGGTCAAAGTCAGGCAATCTTTCTCTTAATCGGCAACAGAAGACTCAGATTTGCATTCGATCGGCTAGATCGTGCTCGGAATCACGGTCGTCAAGTATCTTGGATGATCAACACGAGAGCTATAGCAAACACGTTATAACAAGACCATCCCCCAACTCTTGTTATATGTGCTCACGATCAAATCCACATAAACTGATAGGCTGATAACTCTCGCGTGACGGTGATGCACTCTTCTTTAGTATTCATTTTTGGATTTTTCGTAAAGATCCAAAATGCCTCTAACGTTTTGCGTGCAAGGGTCTCAGACTCAGAGGATAGGATCTTCACTCCAACTTGAAATACCGTACCGTCATGGCGCGTACTGCCGTGTGAACCTAGAGGTGTGGTTTTTCTCAATTGTTTTATTACGTCGTTTCATAAGTTTTATATAAATCAACAAATTGACAAAATTTTAGCCAAATTCAGTCAATAATGCATGTTCCGTTGTTGCGCACAACCTTCTACCCCCATGCAGTCAGACTTTCAGTTCAGTTTTTCCACGACTCAGCGGGTCTGGTCCCAAAAAAGTAGGTCAACCAGCGCCTGGTATCGTTTTCAGAATTAAAACTGACGCCTCTCATATAGTTTATGATAGACTACAACAGATGATAGTGTGCTAGAGCGAGATCTCAGGAGTACACTGGATACGTAGGTATCTCCAGGCCAAGTCTTCCAGGACAGCTATGAGGACGGTTGCCATCGGATGCCGTCGGAGCGGCCTAAGTTTTGTCGCGCAAGAAAACTCACTGGATCTGTTTATTGGGCCACTTTGCAGTATTGATTTGTTTAGACGGTGCAGTCGATTTGCGTACGGCGTGGGCAACCGTCTTGTTCTTGCCTAGTTATTTTTAGTGCCTCCTGCCCATCCTGCAAAAAGTCTTGTTCAGGAGCCACGTCATTGTAAACTCTTGGTATTTTGGCAGTCCACTCAATTTTTGTCTCATATTGATGAGAAAACGCCATTTTCCATGATCGGCAAAAAACTTTGCGCGAAATGCTTTTTTGTTGAGAAAAAAATGAGCAAGTGGCATAAATGCTTCTTTTTCCTTTTGGGAAATCTTTCCTCGGGAGTTAAAAATCCAAGCAAATCAGCTTTTCATCATAAATAATTAGTTTACTTCGAAGTGAATGATGAGCTCTTCTCAATGATGTACGCATCTGGCCGCAAGTTGGCCTAAAGAGATGAGAACGAAAATGAAAACTCTAAGAACTTATGAAACGACCTAATAAATGAAAAAAACTGCTGACTCAGAGACTAATTTTTAGGGTGCCTCCATACCGCGCCGGCAGCCGCCGCTAGCAGCCCATAGCAGCCCGGAGCCACCGCTGGCCGCTTTTGTCATAGAAGCACAAAATCATCAAATTCATACTATCTCAAAGGCAGCGTCTAGGCAAATCTGGACATATGGGGATCTCACGTGGACAGTAATTTTGGGACCCTAACTAAGTCACTGGACGCCGTATTCAAGTGCAACCGCCCACGCTCTCCATCTTCTACGCTTTTTCCTTCCTGTTGTCGTAAATATACAGGGTGTCCCAAAAAAATGTATCGAACGTTTGATCGTTAATATCTCTCTTCCTAAGAAGTCTTTTGCCTTGCTTCAGGTACCAGTCTGTAGAGCTGGCTTCAACTTAGATTCGCGTTATAGAACGAATCACTCATTTCTCTTCATTACTGTAGGATTACGGTAGAAACTTCAAAGAAAGTTTTAAGCAATGAAAGGCCATATTTTGCCTCAGAAAGGAAACAAAACAGCCTGAAAGCTTTTACACTAGGCTAATTAGAGTTGCTGATCATAACTGTAGAGTTCCCAACTTATTATGATGCTTCATTGAAGAGTTATGCCAGGTAAGAGGTAACGGCCATTTTTTCAATGTTCCTAAAAAGTGCGGTTACACCGTTTAGAAAGCTTCACAATCTTGTGAATAGTTGAGTATTGAACTCAGCGTCCATAAAAACCCTATTACACAAGTTTTCACAATTTTTTTGAAAAATTTTGAAACGGCAGCTTTTTCCACATTGACAGACACCATAAGTTTCAAGTTTCTACCGTAATCCTACAGTAATGAAGAGAGATGAATGATTCGTTCTATAGTGCAAATCTAAGTTGAAGCCAGCTCTACAAAACGGTACCTGAAGCAAGGTAAAAGACTTCTTGGGAAGAGAGATATTAACGATCAAACGTTCGATACATTTTTTTGGGACACTCTGTATATATCAGTGGCGTACCCACGATTTCGGCTCGGGGGGGGGGGGGGGACAAAAAAATTTTTTCTAATGAAGGTGCGTGGCGTGAGCCACAAAAACTTTTTGGGATGTTGCCCAAAATTTTTCCGAGCCCCTGACCCCAAAAATTTCAGGAAAAGGGGGCGTGGCGACAGCCACGCCCCGGAAAAAATTTCTTTACAAGGCTAATTTGAATTTTTTTAAATTTCTAAAAACTTTTAAAAATTATTTCAATTATTTACAAGTAAAAACAAGTCCTCTGCACATTTTTATAACACTTTTAAGTGACTTTCAAAAATTTCAAACTTAGATATAGATTATAGAGCGAATCATCCAACTCTCTTCATTAATGCAGGATTACGGTGGAAACTTCAAAGAGGTTTTTAAGCCATGAAAGGCCATATTTTGCCTCAGAAAGGGAACAAAACAGCCTGAAAATTTTACGCTACGCTAATTAGAGCTGCTGATTCTAACTGTAAAGTTGCCAACTTATTATGATGCTTCATTGAAGAGTTATGCCAGGTAAGAGGTAGCGGCCATTTTTTCAATGTTCCTAAAAAGTGCGGTTACACCGTTTAGAAAGCTTCACAATCTTGTGAATAGTTGAGTATTGAACTCAGCATCCGTAAAAACCCTATTACACAAGTTTTCACATTTTTTCGAAAAATTTTGGAACGGCAGCTTTTTCCCCATTGACACCATATGTTTCAAGTTTCTACCGTAATCCTACAGTAATGAAGAGAGATGGGTGATTTGCTCCATACTGTAAATCTAAGTTGAAGCCAGCTCTACAAAAAGGTACCCAAAGCAAGGCAAAAGACTTCTTGGAAAAGGAGATATTAACGATCAAAGAGTGTATACATACTTTACGGACACCCTGTATATCATACTTGTGTCCATTGCTGTTGCTTGTTGCCGTAAATTGGTTATCCTACTGGTGCTCAATTTCTCTCTTGCAGTTGAACCACAATTCGCCAACGTTTCTTCACGGTTTGATTTCTTCTGACTTTGGATGCTTCCACTTTCTGCAAGTGCGCTATTTGTTTATTTTTAAGTATGGTTCTACTTCAATCATATCCTTGCCCATCGCCCTTCTTGAATGACTCTGCAATGTTGGAGAGTCGAAGTGCACATCACGACAATAGGAAGAAAGAAGCGTAGAAAATGGAAAGTGTGGGCGAGCGCACTCAAAGTAGCAAAAATTTGTTGATTTTGCGCTTCCATGACAAAAGCGGCCAACGGCGGCTACGGGTTTGGGCGGCTGCTCGATCAGCTAGCTCCTGATGCGGGCTGCTACGGGCTGCTAGCAGCGGCTGCCGGCGCGATATGAAGTCACTCTCAAAGTGATGACAACAACATAGCAAAAATCACAAAATTTGCTCTCAAAGTGCAGCTGCCGACTTCTCACTCAAAACACGAATCGGTTGGACGGGTAATAAGTTATTTATGCATTGTGCCCGAGATTTTATACAGCGCATACGTGAGAAATACAAAAAAATACACCTACACAACTTCATAACCTGGAGCTGGTACATAAGCAGGCTTCTTGTAGAGACTCGGAAGAATGGCGACATAGGTGTCATAGAGGTAGTGTTACATTTTGGTACAAATCATCGGGCCCCATGGCTTGACGTGCGGATAAGTACGCCGCTTGCAATATGGTTTCATTTTTGCCAATCCTAAAAGGGTAAAGTACTGCTGCACGATTCTGCTCCTAGTTTTGCAGTAACATTCATCTCAGTACAAGTTCCTTTCCCTTACACGAACGAATAATTAGCCAAATAGGGAGTGTATTTGCTGCGTAGTCTGGACCCCTATCCATCCCAATCTCCTACGGCTCTGCACCACATCCTCATTCATGATTCAGGGCTTTAGAAGAATTCCCATTCCCGCGTTCTTCCAACTATTTGGAGTCAGCGGGACGGATGAGCGGGGAATCTTATAATCGAATTTCGCCAAGATGCTTTAGGGGTGAGCGCGAAGCTTTTGAGGCTCTCAGTAAGACACAATCTTTTGAAGATAGAGCTGTTGAGGGCAGGGCAAGGGTAATGAGATCAAGAACAGATGTCAAGTGCAAAAATGTTTTTGACTCAAAGTACCTGAGTGACCGTTCCACCCCAAAAGTTTTCAAATGATATATAAGGTACTCCAGCGCATACATAAGACTAGCACGAACGTAGTGAAATGAGATAGCGTAGTCTGGAAAATGTAAAATTATGCACCGGAATTAGCCAGAAATATATTGTAGGTTTTTAAAGCTTGCTTTGCAAAACGCTTACCAGAGCAGCAATTTGGGCCTTGTTCAAGCGGATAATAGGTATAGGCAAACACCCACTTTGTCTCTGCAGCTTTGCCTGTCATAAGATGTTTCTCGGGAGCCATTGGCATGAATCTAACACAACACACTTCTAGTTGGAATAAAAAATGTAATGGTAATTGAAGGCACCTGTGATGCTGTGAGTTATCACGAGAATCTCCTGCGTACACTCCTATATTCTCTAAACATTTTCCTAACTCAACGTCTTCGTATCCACCTTCCTTAGGAGAACATTTCTCTGTATTTTGTAGACCTTCATTCACAAATCTAAAATGGCTCGGTAAGTCACACTGCTCTGCGTCTATGGGAGACGATGATGAAGAATAAATCACTTTCTCACTGCTTCACGGCTGAGAACATATCCAGCACCACCGCTATAATAGCCTTGTTTGACAAAATATTTGAATTTGCACCCAAAGTGGATAGGTTGATCAGGAGAATAAGGAAGAAGCATATACCTAAGGGATAGATGGTGATATGCAATAGTTGAGCCACAGAAAACCACCTCAAATTTTCAAGTATAACATATGTGTCGTCATCCGCCTTCAAAAACCAATCGAACTCATTCTAAAAACTTGCAATTTATTGTATAGTACTGACCAAGCAAAAATTTATACGATTAATGAATCAAGATGTAGTTTGTTGTGAAAACGGAATACTGGGTTTCCTATTGTATATATACATTTGTTCATCGACATTCATTTTGCATCGACTTTTACGAGACTTCAGACATATTTTTAGTTTTTTTAGGTTACAATCAGACTTGCAGTAAAAAGGTGAATCATTGAGTTGAATCATTCTTCTCATTAGATCATGGTAGCAATTTTGAAAAAAGTCGTACGTTTTCGAGGAATTTGCTTTGCCTCAGAAGGGAGTAAGAAGAATTCGAAGCTAATCTATATTTTGAGATTTTTGCATTATTTATGATTTTATGGTATCATGTCTATAAATTATGCTGAGTATACTGCAGCGTCTAATCTCTCCAAGCCCCTCAATCATAGTTCACGCTATTTCAACAGCTTCGCAGACTCTTATAAAACGAGCAGTAAAATCAACATGAGGATTTTTGCACAATTGCTTAGTTCTTTTAGATTTTTTCACTCAGCCAAGTCAGTGAAGTCATGTGCTGGAAATTCTTGCCGTACTCATAGATAATGTAGAAATTCATAATTTGCTTTGCTGTATAAATATGTAGAGCCAATTTATAAGGTAGTATCAGGTCCAGATATTACTCCAAAGAAGTATGAACATTGAATAAATTATATTTGAGATCTAATACTCATACAGTATTATTTAACCAACAAGCAAGCCACTTCCGTAGGTTCACCCAAAAAGGTTAAAAGGAGTCATGGAATTTAAACCAAATTCGGCAGACATTATGTATGAGGTTACAAAGCCTCAAGCCCCTGTTGATTTGTTGATTTTTTTGCAATTTTGTGTAGAAAAATCTTCATGTTTGATGAGAAAGGATAGAAGGAGCCATGAAATCTAAACCAAACTTGGCAAACATAATGCATGGGGTGGGGCCTGTGTTAATAAGCCTTCTTGATTCGGGCATACCAATTGACACTATAGATTTACTGGTTTTTTGCAGTTTCCATGATACGCTTAGAATGTTGAATCAAAACAAAGTGATAAAGCCGAAATTAGTTCCCTTTTTGCATAGGTTATATTGAGGTAATACATGCAAAAACGACCATGCCTATTTTTACATTTCCGCACTAAAGGGTGAAACGAAAGATTTACGAGGCACGGAAGCTGCCAAGCACCAGGCGAACCTGCACTTAGCGGCATAGATCGGTTAGTACTGTATGTTGCATGCAGCACTCCTTCCGCTCAAGCGATAAAGATATCCTATGATACTCACATTAGCATTGTATTTTTTGCCAAGGACTAAGCTAACTTTTGTAAGTAGTGATGTTTCTCGCTGAAATTGAATTTGGAGACTACCAGAAAGAGTCACCAAATAGTAGTCATGTATGTACTTGAATGCAGCTTTAGTTCTCGCCCATAGATGATCGCGGCCGTCAGAAACGTTCACATTGATTGCGGGTAAGTCGGGATTATCATCTGTCGAAATAAACACATATCTAAATTATTTCGATCTATTAGTTTGAACCTATGGTGTTTCCACATATACGGACTCACTTGTTACAGCGTTTTGCCCAAGTCGCTTTCACATGTATGGCTTTTCGCTCATGGTTACGCTTGCAGGTCAGAATCCAACAGAATATTCGAACCTTTTCCGCAAGCGCATCTGCGACTACACGCTCATCTACAAAAATGGATTCACGTAAAGGCCTTGTCTGCTAGCTGGCTTTTCTGAGCTCAATTTATGTTTGTTTGACTGACTATTCTTTGGTTCGACATAGTGAGTTTCGATAAATGGGAATAAATACATGCCTGAGTGGTCGCCATGAAAGTCTTTTGCATAAAATTGTGGTGGCGACAGCAGCACTTGAAACACTGGTTCGTGCTGGAAAATGGTCGTTACTTGAGAAGCAAAGGAACTATGGTTATAACATGTGATTGACAAATGAAAATAAATGAGAGAAAGAGCAATATAAAAGTCTGAATCTTCATTTCCAATTTATTAGATCTTTCTTTCGCATTCTTTAGCCTCGAGTTAAGGACTACGATCGTCCTGCTTCCTTGTTGTTCCTCGTTCAAGTGACAGTAAATGCAATGACACTGATTTACCGAACATCGCACTGGTGTTCCACAGGGGGGGGGGGGGGAGGGGGGAACGGGAAATGCAATAGAGTGTTCAACTTGTGAGATGAATAGATCCAATCATTACGATTGGACTCGCGTTCTAGACTACGCTGTAGTGTTGACGTACCTACGGAATGAAGAGTACGATGCGAGCACGTTCAAGACTAGAGAGCTAGGGTACCGCTCACGACTCGAAGGATCTTCACGTCAACAACCAGTTGAGTTTTTTATTGCGAAACAAAGAGGGATAACTACTTATTACGAAGGAAGAAAGGAAGAGCAACAACGTATCTTGCCATAGAGGGTCCGGCACTGGGGTGGCAAATGTCAAGCTGAGAGCCCTTGTATGTTTGAAAAGCAAACGAATAGCGTTTATCTCCTCGCAGTGTTCTCTGACTTTGAAGCTCCCCGCTTTCAGCTAGGTCTTCCTTGCCCCATTGGATTGTTGAATTTACCTCGCCGGACCGCCAATTTCGCTACTCTCCTCACTGATTAACCCAGCTCTGCTTACCGGCAAATGCACGTCTGCTATGCTGTCTGCTGCACCCTTCGTCTCCGATCATCCTTGCCTTCCCCATGCCCATTCCAAACCACTTCTGCTCTTGCAATGCCCGCAAAAGGAGCAAAAAGTATGAATGCTCCTTTATTGAGTAAAAGGGCGGTGATGAAGCCCATTCTCAGAGCTTAACGCATAAATTGGCAGGTGGGGTTTGGGCTACATTGTATGGAGGGGGGGTCTACTACCTCTCCACCAAAATCACTCCGAGAATCCGAGAAATTCCGCCACTAAGAGACTTTCAATGATACCGCATATAGCGCTCTCGTAGAGTTTTAAGTAGATAGAAGAGTCGTAAAAAGGAAATTCCGCAGATTCATTAGATTTGGCATTGACGAATGGGAAGTAGGTCATGCTACCTTAGCTTTCAACCGTGAAGTGAAAGAAGCTAGAAGTAAGCTTCCCGAGATGAAGAACACATTTTGAGTGAAATAACGAAAGGAGTAATGTTCGAGAATTACGCTTAGAAATAGCACTAGGCCTAGAATAATCAGCAACTACCAGCAGCTTGCAAATTAGAAATAGTTTCTGAATCACATCAAGAGCTAGGCTCCTACCTATGGATTTGCTCATCCCTACGCTCGTAAAGGTCTTACGAAAAAAAACTGGAGGCTGATAAAGCTTCCAGAAGGAAGGCCGCGCAGGTCAATTGTGAACAAAAATTTGAATACGTTATGAGGGATTGTGAAAACTCAAAAATGAAAAGACTTATGGGACAACCTAATATAAGGTCGTGATTACATGACTGACACTCTCCAACTTGTCCATTTGCGAGCGCGGAAAATTCGGAGATAAATCAGAACAAACGGTTTTTTACAGCGCACAGAATGTGATGTGAAACTATGTTGAAATAAAGCAGCGATACAATATTTCGTTGCACATGATAAGTGGAGAAAATAGATATCTACGTGAAGTGAAGCGTTTTGTGCTTCAAAAAAAATTTCGATGGTTGGAAAAATTGTTCTGAATTTATCGCTTTTTGGTGAAATGGGACTTTTTTGTTCTGAATGTGGCCAACACCCAAGCGCTAAAAAGTAATTTGCCCAAAAAATTGGGGAGGGTAATTTATCAATCTTGCTACGCTGAACCTCAAGTCCGGGCTGTTTCCGCACAAGCAAGAGATGCTTTACCGAGATAATTTAGGAAGCTGCACTCACCTTTGTCCAATTGCGAGAAACGGTCGTAAGACAAAGACCAATGATCACACCGATGCCGACGTAAATGGAGATCGACAACTTACGATGCTTCATGTTATTGGAGAGCCTAGAGAATATAAACTTACGTTATCATGTTTGGGAAGTCTGCAGTGAAAGGCAATTACGAAAAAGGTAGTAAACGTGAGTTTCCATAAACTTCTTGAAATGCTGGCAACAGATGTAAAACAGTTATAAAAACAGCGAAACATGGAAGAGTGGGCAATTCTATCATCTATTTTTCGATACTGATGCTAAAGGAAGCTATAAGCTATTAGGTTGTCAAGAAAATAATGTCCGTTTTTATTTGCTTGCTTTAACAAAGCAACCAGACTCAACCCAACAAAGGGTAAGGGGTACTGTTCGATAGAGCAAAGCAAGCTCTACAAGATGGCACTCATGTCTTTGCGCCATGCTCGATCCATGGAGAGTTCGAACTCAAAATCTAAAGATTTCCAAATGCCCAAAAAATCGAAAAAAATCAGATCTTCGTCCAAATAATTTCTACGGACCTCCCACTCGCTCACATCAATACTATCGATGTCTGATATCCATATGTGCGATTACCGTATTTTTTCCTTGACTAGAAACTGAGAAAACGAAAATTTCCCTAATTTTCTCAAAGCAATGCTGAGCCGTTTTTGCATATGAAGTTCTATACTACAAGCCTAGGTAAGCATAACTGTAGGTTTTCAGCCTATTTCGAGCGATACTTTTCGAGAAATGTCGATTTTAGCACTGAAACTGAAACGAAAAAATCCGAATTCGTTATTTTTCGAAAACTACCGCTTGGAATGGACTGAAAATCTACAGTTATACTTACCTTGGCTTACAGTATACAACTACATGTGCAAAAACGGCTCAGCATTGCTTTGAGAAAATCAGGGAATTTTTCGTTTTGGCAGTTTCTAGTCAAGGAAAAAATACGGCAATCGCACATATGGATATCAGATATCGATAGTACTGATGTGAGCGAGTGGGAGGTCCGCAGAAATTATTTGGACAAAGATATGATTTTTTCCGATTTTTTGGGCATTTGGAAATCTTTAGATTTTGAGTTCGAACTCTCCGTGGATTGAGCATGGCGCAAAGACATGAGCGCCATCTTGTAGAGCTTGCTTTGCTCTATCGAACAGTACCCCTTACCCTTTGTTGGGTTGAGTCTGGTTGCTTTGTTAAAGCAAGCAAATAAAAACGGACATTATTTTCTTGACAACCTAATATATTCACTTAATTATAGTATTTTAAGTTGATATTTCTTGATGCACATTGCGATAGGAGAAGCCCCCCTTCCCATGTAAGGGTGTCTTAACTCTTCCCGAACTTGAATGGTAAGGGGATATGTGGGCATGGTAAATGCTGATACTCGCTAAATTCGCAAGCCAGGGAGACGAAAGGAAGAAGTTTGGTTGTATTATCTGGACGATATTTCAGAATCTGGCTTTGCTGTGCCTTGAACTTAAAAAGAAACTCTCTTGACAAAATCTTATGTTTTCTCAGATGTGTAGTGTCGCTCGAAATTAAATTTGGTCGTCGACTTTATTTAGGCTCAACTGAGTGGGAAAATTAAAGGAAATTTCGCAGCTTGGGTCAACTTACAGGGCTCATCAACTGCGGTCTTCGGTGCGCCAGCATCTCCGCTTCCCCACGGCCGCTTCGCCTGGACTCCGCACGCGAAAATTCACTCTGATCACTTTCCCACCGCGAGCGTGAGAAAGGCGGAGCTTCAAGTTTGTACATGATTAGAGAACATGTACGTGGAAGAGGTGCAAAGTACCGCGCGGGAGTGGACATCTGGTGACACCCGACACTGTAAGTGGTAAGCCATGTATATTGTTCAATCCATGCGTCAAATTTGTGCAGCGATGATGAAAGCTAAAAAGAAGCGACAGTCTAAGTTCGCATTAATTTCCTCTGTAATACAGTCAAAAGGTCACGCCCCGTTAAGCATTCCTTTGGCAGCATTCGTTATAAAAGGAGACAGACGTTAACTGCAGATGGGCGAAAAAGTAGCGATCATCGCCAAGCTTATATTGTCATACAATTCTCTTCTTATCGTGAGTTGATTCTGGAATAATATAACATTGCGGAATCAACGCAGAATTCAATGAGGTGGTTACTAGACTTTTTAGAGCTGGTAAACCAAAAGTCCTTGAGATTGATATACCGTTCGAAAGCTTGGAACATAGAGAGTTGGTGTGGCCTTTGGTTTTCTAACTCATTTGGACAGTGATTTAATGAAAAATTTACCTGAAACTCTTTCTTTCAAAAAATTCGCTAATTTGTACAGTACCCACACTAGTTATTCGACAGAAACGCAAAAACTGACGAGCCGCGTTTTTTTCGTTTTTTTATCATAACTTCCTTCAGATTGCATAAAATAGAATTCCGAAGAAAGCATGATGTTCAGCTCGTCAAGATGAATCCTCAAGATGAAAAAATCGATGTCTCTCAAATTTTAGCTACCGTAACCATACAGCAAGACGCTTCTGATATACTGCACTCTCTTACTATTCCGTTTTCAGTCTGCTCGATTTTTGTGTGAGAACGGGTTTTCGCAGTAGTGTAACTCAGCGAAGAACATACAAGCATGGAAGACTCTCGTAAACATGATTCGATAAAGCTGTTTCCGTAGATTATCAAATAGTAGCGATTAGCGAAGGATTCCCTTTCCTTAGAGAAAGACAGGCCGGTAAATCTTGAAAAAATCGATGTCTCTCAAATTTTAGCTACCGTAACCATACAGCAAGACGCTTATTTGCAAAGCAGGTGTGTTTTTCGTGATCAGCAGACTAGATAACCTTTATGCGCAAGTTTTCCTAGAAACTCGGGTTTTTTGATTTTTTCTCGTTCTAGGGCTGTGAAGCTCGCCTACGGGTTTTGGCTAAATATTGATGATCTTGGATTGACCGGAAACTTTGCCCATAGAGGTTTCCGGACTCGCTGAGCAGCGTAAGTTCTTTTAGCATGGTTATGCTGAGATCAATACTGCGATACTGCGCAAGTTCCTAAATTTGTACACCTTTTCCGCTTATCTGTTGAGCAAATCACCTGCTCCTGTAATTTGAAATTACTAGAGCAGTGCTCTCAGAGCATGCCTAAAGTGGGCCCTTATCTGTACTGATCGCCGAATTGTGAGCATACGAACTCACGTCCTTATGAAAATCGTTCAAAATTTCAAGATCATATGTTTTGGCCAAATATCACCGCGAATGGTTACAGATCACTCTGATCGCAGATAATATGTTTATGTACATATGTAGAATGATAATCTCAATACAGCATACTTGCTTACCCCCTATGTCAACTCTTACATCTGTAGCTCATAGTTTGCAAAAAATCCATAGAGTCGGTAAAGATAATTGCTTTAGAAATCAACATTGTATCCGTGATCAGCACCCTCACTCACCTACTTGTACCAATTCCCAGCCTGGTAGCTCAAAGTTTGCAAAAAAAAATCGATAAATCAATATCGAACGATGACGAAATGTAGTCTGCAAGACCAGCTCGGCCCCTGAGTTGTGTGCAAAGTTTGGTCTGCATTGTCAAAGATGCAGTTCTGTTACGAACACACGCATAGACACACAGACACATGACAAAACAGCCATTCATTTGAGTTTAAGTTAGTATGTTAGCGATAAATAATAACAATAACAGTTGCAACTCTAAAGTCTGTCAATCTCCTCATAAAAATCGTAGGCGTCTCATTGCAACCGTTCATCACCAGGTGGAGTTAAAAACGTGGGTCATTTTATTTGCAGTTCTAAGGCTGGTCATTCTTGCTATTTCACTTCTGTTCATCTTGTCTATCAAGTTTTTTCTTTCATCAACATCAAGAAGAGTTCACGTCTACACAAAAATGTCTGTCCCAACAGGGATCAGGCTGAACCGTTGGCGTAAGTTTGTGTGCTCGCAGCGGCATGGTTTTGCGTTGCATATGCACACTGTCGAAGTACGAAGAGATTGAAGAGATTAGACAAGCTAGCACAGTGTGGCGCTAAACCCGCGCGACAAGGGTTTCCACCATGCCAATTTGGCTTGATTGAGATAGGCACAGACTGTACCCTTCCGGAATGCACGCATCTCACACTGAGAAGGATTCGACTCTTTTACGAGAGACGTATTTGAAATTTATATTATCTGTAACCAAACTATTCAATGCACTTTGATGGAAATCACGGTTTTATCCTGTCATGGTGTCTGAAGACAATGAAAACGCACTCAGCGGCAATGCGCGCACGCAGAGAGCATCGATGGAGTAGCAAGAATGACCTCAGCCTTAGAACTGCAAATAATAAAATGACCCACTTTTTTAACTCCACTGGTGATGAACGGTTGCAATGAGACGCCTACGATTTTTATGAGGAGATTGACAGACTTTAGAATTGCAACTGTTATTGTTATTATTTATCGCCAACATACTAACTTAAACTCAAATGAATGGCTGTTTGTCATGTGTCTGTGTGTCTATTATACTTGGGACCAGGGTCAAGCTTGTGATGCGACTGTCGCAACGGGGGGTCGTAAGAGGGTATCTAAGGTGGGGGGGGGTCGTAAGAGGAGGTAGTTAAGCTAAAATACCCTAGGCTCTAAAGGGAATCAAAAAGCAGACAATTAGTTATGTTTTTTACAATAAATCTATAAAAAAGTGGAAATCAGAAAAAAATCTGTAGAAATTCTCAAAAAAAAAAACCATTCACAAGAGCTCAAAACACTTTTAAAGGATGTATTAATTGATAAAAATGCTAAATGTACCGATTGCCCTAGAAATCTTGCTTCTGAAGCCTTCCTGAAGTCTCACACACTCTACAAAAGCGCACATCTAGATCAACGATCAATCAATAATTCGTAAATCTTTTTGTAATGCGACTTATGCGGCCCTTACAATTTATATGTACTTTGGATAAGCTCTGCTACTGCTGTGCGAAATCTGGTGTTATTTTATAAACTGCGGATTTTCTTATGATTTTATGTATGGTAGCAAAAAATGAGAAAAGGGGGGTCGTATCTGGGTCGCATCTAAATTTTTCCGGAGCTATTGAAGTTTGTTGGCTGTA